CGTCAGCAGTTGGCCCGAACTTCTCCCCCTCCCCCATTCTTAAAAGTCCAATGACAAGTATCGCGCAAACTTCACTTTGGTGATGATTGAATCATAATGATTAACCATTCTAATTCTGGAGAATAAAACAGCAAAAATCTTGATTTTAAGTGCAAGTAGTGAAGATATCGTGCGGTGATGATAATTGCAGGATTCTTAGGAAGAACAAGATTGATGCTGATGCGGTTTCCCTTGATAAACAAATTAATTGTTAATTTACAAGCAAGGAGAATAGAAAATCTTCAAAAAAGAGTAACATTAAAGATTCAATAATTTCCATTCGTTAATCATATTTTATATTCAGTTTCGAAACGATGGTCACCATTTTGGGCGAAGATCCATACAGTATATTCAACAGGTAACCACTTTGTTCGGCCCAGGAGCGGTCAGGTTGCAGAATGAGCCTTTCCTCGATTAAACCAGGGACTTGATTAAACTTTGACGGTATTTTATCTTTCGGGGCCAATGAGAATCATCATACATTGATAACGGGAATGATCTCTGTCATATATGAGGGGTTCAACGACATTCAATGAAGTCGTAGTGCAACGATAGACCAAACCAGAACGATTTTCCAGATGAATTTCTTCCTAAAACTGCCGTCACTATTGGGTAGATTTGATAAACAGTTGTCGTTTTCTCTCTGGATACACTTCTATCATTGTTCGATTTTGTGGGAAGAGACACAGAGAGAGAGAGAGAGAGAGAGAGAGAGAGAGAGAGAGAGAGAGAGAGAAAAGGGATAGAGGGAGAGTGAGGGAGAGAGAGAGAGGGGAGCAGTAAGAGAGGGGGAGGGAGAGAAAAATAGAGAGAGAGAGAGAGAGAGAGAGAGAGAGACAGACAGACAGAAACAGAGAGAGAGACAGAGAGACAGAGAGAGACGAAAGGGATAGAGGGAGAGTGAGAGAGAGAGAGAGAGAGGGGAGCAGTAAGAGAGGGGGAGGGAGAGAGAAATAGAGAGATGGCAAAAGAGAGAAGGGGAAGGGAGAGACAAGAATTCAGGAATTTTAAAAAGAAATCAAAAGTGACCTGTCAAAGATATTTTTGTACCGTCTTTGACAACTGTATTCTTTTTATGCCATATTTTAAATCATTTAATATTTAATAACGACATTCCCATTCAGTAAACACGGGTCCCTACGCACGAAACTCCCACGGGGATTCACATACAAAAATGGAATCGAAATAAGAACAAATGCCTAAATCTGGTTTTGAAAATGACGAATGCAGGATTGGAGGGGGGGGGGGGGGAATGTGATAAAATGCGAAAAAATTATTAGGTCTTATATATCAAAGGTAACCACACACTTCTCTACGGCCCCTGTAATAATTATTACCTAACCATTGCCAGGTACATATTTAGTACCCCTGGGTCGAGAGAGGCAAGTATGGGCAAAACACCTTCTCCAAGAACGTAGGCAGCTAGCGAGGGTCGAACCCGGGACCTCTCTATACGCCTACTCTGAGAGCCAAGAGCCTTGACCAATACACCAAGGTGTCATTCTTACTACGAAATTAAACTGATGAAAAAGACCAACGCAATTCCCCCAAAGCACCGCATTCTGGAAAGACGATTCATTCAGGTTTTACTTTACATGAAATAATAACTAAACGAAAGAGAACACGGTTATTATTTTTGAATTAATGACTTTAATACAACATCAATTATTATCATTAAATATAGATACTCCCTTATGCTGCAACATTGTGCCTCGAGTTTCTGTGAGACCGTAGGCCTACATGTATGTCGATCGCGACTGCATAATTTTCCATTTATTTAAAGCCTTACTGCACTAGTTTGGCCAGGAGGAATTAGATCTCCATGCATGGTCACTAACAGGTGATCATCTCATCAAATCAGCCCTCAATTAACATAAGAAAAAGGGGATCATGGGGGACCAATGATCACCGATTAGGCATTTTTTTGCTACATAGATGACGAAAGTAGCTATAAGTATAGTGCAGTGGGGCTTTAAACCTGGAGTTCAAATTTTGTAAAGTTGTCTGTCATTTCACCATTTGAATAAATCCATCCCCTTCACTTACTACTGAGCAGGAGGAAAAACGTACCGGCCACAATAAGCCATGCTAGTTGAAAGGGAAAACGGAAGATAATTTACTGCAAATAAAATACCTGTGGAAGTATTCACCTCAAACTCCACGCATGTCTTTTAGATTATGTCCTTAATTTTCACATTACTCATTTAGTTTACAAATGATTGTCCGTCGTTTCTCATTTAATTCGACTCGGCCTTTTTTCCCTTCGCGAAGTTCCCACGATATCCATCGATGGATGTGCAGAAAACGGTTAGGCGTGAACTTTACTTTCGTATCACTACTTTCGGGAATTTTTACTCTGATTTAAATCGACTTTTCCTTCTTGCTTTCTTCTTTTCTTTCTTTCCGGGCTTCTATAACAGATCCATTTATTAATAGATCTGAATAAAGCAATCCAGTCGTACTCTCTTAAATAATAATCATTTGTTTATGTACATATGTATGTACTTTGATAGTTTTCACACGGAAATAGAATGAATCGGTAAAACCACTGAGACGATACGAACTAATCGAACGAAACCCGTCACCCTAACCCTTCATAGGTCATCAAATCATGACGACACAATTCTCTGTGACGTATTCACGCACGTGACGTTAATTTAGGCAGACGCTTCGTTTTGATTGGCTATTGAACTCCAAGTCACATTTCGCTCCCCCTTTTTTCCAGAATGAAATGACAAAAAGAGATCCCTGAAACTCTTTCCCAGATCATTATCAATGAGTGATGTATATATTTGAGGTATATGTGACAAAAGATATCTTTGTGGAGGGTGAAATTGGGTCGAGTTGCCTTGACCAGCAAAGCTTGAGCGAATAAATTCTAAAGTTATGCATGATCTCGAGCTCATTATGGAAATGACTCTTACATATGTTATAACATGAGCTCATGTGGTGATGGTGGTGGTTGTGGTATAGAGTCGAAGTTGAGTATTTGGTCATGGAATTGAATTATGAAAATGTAATTTAAAAAAAATGTCTGGAAGCAAAGGTTGATTATGTAAGTACATCATGTCTGTGACTTTAGACATTTTTATGATGCGAAACATTATTTGCTTCATTTAAAGGCCCACTGCACTACTTGTAGCTACTTGCGCCCTCTATATAACAAACAATGACTAATCGGTGACCATTGGTCCCCCATGATCCTCTTTTTCTTATGTTAACTGAGAGCTGAGTTGATGAGATAACCACCTGTCCAGTGACCTTGCAGGGCAGTCTAATCCCTCCTATAAACTACGGCAGATAAGCTTTAATCGAAAGTATGATCAGAATCACCATTATATAAATCTTTCTAAAAGTATCTAAATAATGAAGGTACTGAGCAATAATTACTTAAGATAAATAAATGAATGATTGATCCTCTCAAGTGTAATAAAGAAACGCGAATTGAATACACTGTATCAAAATATTCATGACATTTTTATGTTAATGTTGAACTGTTTGTTAATACGAAAGAAAGAAGTGAAAACATTGGTGCCATTGTTGCATATATATATATATATATATATATATATATATATATATATATATATATAGTAATTATCTTTATTGTCATATGGGCTGGAAATTGCCAAAAACACGTTAAAGGTGTTTAAAGTTGCTATTAACCAGTGACCCGTTATGTTAATGAAAACGAAAGTATAGGCATATTGATCTGATGCCATGACTTGTTACACCTTAAAATATTATGACTTAGCTATAGCGCTATACCAGTCGCTACCGCTGTGACACAGTATTCCTTTCCGTGGTATTTCTGCATACTTAGGGTTAGGGGCTTTTGGCAATATACATTTCTAGAGAATCGAAAGGATGTAAAAAGGATGCCGGATTGAAATAGACACCTTTTGATTGAGCACACACGGTAAAACTATCTAGATAATGAATGGACTGATTGCTGGGAGTCAAATTGGGGATGATTTGGGCCATAATTTGAAATGGAAACACCGATTTCCCCCCCCCCCCCCCCCCCCCCTCTCTCTCGCTGAGAAAGAATACAAGGGATGCATTCTATGGGTTCTGGACTCGCGATAAAAACACATGCCTATCTCTTTTTCCTCTGCAATGTATTCTTTTTTTTGTGTGTGTGTGTGCTTGAAATGGATCTGGTTTATGTAGGTCAGTGGTATATAGTAGCGTTAAGCTGTGTGAAAACGAAAGAGTATTTATCAATGCAGAGAAAGAAGTGAAAAAGATAAACTTCGGGTGACATTTTCCAAAATATAATGTAACTTATGAATGCAAAGAATAAGGTGAAAAGGATTAATTTAGGGTGGTAATTTATAAAATAACGTAATTTAAGAATGCAGGGAGTAGCCTGAGGGTGGAAATCACATTACAATTTGGGTGATAGTTATTGAATAATGTGAGTGGCAGAAGAAGAAATTTAAATTATTTCAATAATATCAAATATATTAGCAAACGTTCGGCTTCAGATTGCAATTAGGATTAAGAGGCGATAATGATGGTAGTAATGATGATGGTGATGGTGATAACGGTGACAAAAATAATAATCAGAATAACAACTATTTTGAAAAATAATAATGATAATAACAATATCAATAAAAAATAACAATAATAACAATGATATTGATGACGATTATGACGAAGATGATGATGGTGATAATGATGATTACAGTCATTTCAAATACATAGTTCATTTGAAAAGGGAACGAACTTCAGATAATAATAATAACTGCCCCGATGAAGCGCTGATTTTTTTCTTCATACCTGTACACATGTATTACAACTCGGTTGAGACTTGAGAGTGTCAAATAAGATTCATGTATTACCAAAGAAACTTCAGTGCTGTGGAAGGGATTCGAACTCCGTACCTTGTGATTCACAGTCCGCTTACTTATCCACGAGACCACAACATCACTAGACATAAACACTAATTTTCCACGTTTTGTCTCCCAATTTCAGAGGCTCCATATTGGAATTTAAAAGGCCGAGCTGCCGTGGAAGAGGCGCTACTGCGACAGAGGCTCAACGTCAACATCGCCAAGAATATCATCTTCTTCCTCGGTGACGGGCTCGATGTCACGACGACCACGGCGGCGAGGATACGAAAGGGCCAACTCGCCGGCGGTATGGGCGAAGAGGCATCGCTGCACTTTGAACATTTTCCTCATGTTGGGCTTGTAAAGGTAAGATAGAGATGGGGAAAGAAGGGAGAGGGAAAGTGAGAGAGTCAGCGGGGAGGGGGGGGGGGGGAGGCAAAGGAGAGAGATAGAGAGAGAGAGAGAGAGAGAGAGAGAGAGGGAGGAGGAGAGATGATGATGGTGCCTTTCTTCATCTTATTTTAAAGGTTGGGAAAAAAGGACGAGGTATTATGAAATGCAAGACAATTTCACAATCATCTGGCAATGTCTTCAACATTATGAATAATATATTTAATTTCTAGAGCGCTTTAATATAAAAGTTTCTAAACATTTACATCATAATTTGTAAATAGTATACTAAAGTTATGAAACATTATTAGTATGACTGATAAACATCGAATATAAGGCATAATGAAATTACGGAATTTTACACCATTCAGCTCCTTATTCACCATGGATCGAGACCCTTGTTTAAATTCTATATTACTTGTATTGTACGCGTGGCCAAAGCTCTATTAACTTCTTGGTGTGACAAAAGTCGAGTGTGGTAGTCCACTGTCGATTCAATTGGTTGACCGAAGCAAGTGAAGGGTTCAGTTGCATTTATAAAGCACTGAACAAACAAGTAATATAAGAAAATATATAGTGAAAGGAATTTAAAACGAAGAATAAATAAGTTATCAGAGAATGTTAATCCTAACTCCTTGAGAATACAGAAGGTAGTAGATTTCTTTCTCTCACTTTCTCCCCTGTAGACTTATAACACAGACCGACAGGTCCCCGATTCGGCGGGAACAGCCACCGCCTACCTGTGTGGGGTGAAAAGTAAATTCGGGACTTTGGGTGTGGACGATCGCGTGGAAAGAGGGAAATGTACATCGATAGAGGGCGCTGCTGTCGATTCGATTTTAATAGATTCGATGAAAGCTGGTGAGTTATTTGATCGGTTTATGAGTATTGATTATGATAACGTGAGATGGATGAAATATATGTCATACATGCTTAACTCCACAATTTTCCAATGTCATCTTTTTTTCCTCTTCTCCAATATCCACATCGTCATCCAGGCTGATCTCATGCGGACTATCATATACATGTATCATCATCTTAATCTTCCTCCTCATCATTAACCTCATTGTCGTCATGATCAGATATTCCGCCACCTCAACATCATCACTTATTACTATCATCATCTCCTCTTTCCCATCCTCTTTCCCCTCCTCCTCCTCCTCATCACCATAAATCCATATTATCGTCATCATCATCACCTTTGTCATCGTTCTGATCCTCCTCCTACTCGTCATCATCCTCAATATCATCATCATCATCATCATCATCATCATCATCATCATCATCATCATCATTATCATCATCATCATCTTTATGATACTCAGTCTCCTCCACCTCCTCCTCCCCCTCCTCCTTCTCCTATTCTTCCTCCTCATCACCATCATCCTGTCATTGCGTACGGGTAGTGAAAATGTAATACAAATATTAAGTATTTGACCAATGTTTACCTTTTCTTCAGAATAAGTTCCAATTTACGTTATTTAATAAAACACAAGACTATATCATTGATATAACTTCCGGAGCCTATGACCTACAACCATTGCTTTCTCTTTAGGCTCCGTCATAATTATTTCTCCCTTTATTTAACTTAGTCTTATGTATTATTCTTTTCGTTTGTATAAATGCAACCAAAAACAAACAAATGTAACATGCCAAATGTAATGACTATTATACAATATGTGAAATATGAAAATAAACTGAAGCTGAAACTGATCTGAAACTGAATCCTAACCTAGTTTCACTCTTTCTCTTCCCCTTTCAGGTAAGAGTACTGGATTGGTCTCGACAGCGAGGGTCACCCACGCTTCGCCCGCCGCGCTCTACGCCCACACACCCGACAGACGGTGGGAGAACGACCACGATCTCGATGATCGCGACAAAAGAGAAGGCTGCAAGGACATCGCCCTCCAACTCATCGAACACGGGAAGAACATGAACGTAAGTTTGTGTTTGAGTCGGTGAGCGTGTAGGTTGGTGCGTGCGTATGTGAGCGTGTGTGCTTGGATGTGCAGTAATAAAGACAGCAACTTCAATGTTGATGGAGAAAACGATTATGATGATGATAATGATGCTAACGATTAAAGTAATAAATATAGTAATAACAATAACAATAATTATACCTATATCAGTGACAATAATGTAAAAACAGTGATAATAATAATAATAATGGTATTAATAATGACAATAATCTTGACAGTTATATTTCTGTCACGCGGCATAGCCTATACTAGCAATTGTCTCTAGATGGACCAGCTATGAGTATATCTTTCACATTGAAATATCATGTCATTATTGGCCTTTTATGAATTTAAAAATTAACTCACACTTTCAGGTTATCATGGGCGGTGGTCGTCGCGAGCTGACGCCGCGCAACGTGGAAGACCCCGAGTACGACGGCGACTACGGGCAGCGTCTCGATGGTCGTAATCTGATCGAAGATTGGCTCGAAGACAAGGATCCCATGAGGTCGCACTACGTGTGGAATCTTCAGGATTTTAACCGAGTCAACGCAGAGACCACCGATCATCTTATCGGTAAATACGACATGATAATAATATAATTATGTCTTATTTACCCGCAGTAGCCACATTCAAAATAACCGCTTTTCCTGAGGGTCCTGCCGTTATTATTACCCCATAATGGCCAGTTACCGATTTTCACGTGGGTTAAAAGAGACAAAAATAAAAAAAAATATGGGTAAAACTTCTTGGCTATACTTCTTGGCTATTATTATAATTTAAGAACCGAAGAAGACAGTTACAAACTCAGGACCTCTCCTTATTATGAGAGTCAAGATCAATTAGCAAGATACAACAATGTCACCCACAAAATATAAAGTAATCTACTCAAAAATAGTTGTATTGCTCTTTTGAGAGAAGATTCCCCTAATTTCTTTAGTCATTCCCACTCCTGTACAAATTAAGAGTGCTTTTGTTAGTCCAGAGAGAGCAATAAGCATGTAATGTAGGCCTAGTATAAACTTGATGAAGTTATGCTGTCCGAAATGGTAACTACTCTACCTCATTTTCGACCAGGGCCCTGTTGCATAAACCTTGCCATTGATGGTAACTTTGCCATCAATGGCAACTACCATGGTAACAGGGCTCAACAGCCAATCAAAATCAAGGTTTCCATGATGGCAAAGTTACCATCAATGATAAGTTGTGTGCAACGGGGCCCAGTATAACGTAAATATGTGACACAACGGGGTCAGTATTACTTTTGAATTTTTCACCTGATCTCTCATTTTGTGCTTATGAATACCCAGGCCTGTTCCAGCCATCGCATATGAAATACGAGACGGACCGGCGATGGGACAGGGCCGGGGAACCTTCTCTTGCTCAGATGACAGAGAAGGCCATCAAGATTCTCCAAAGGACCAGTGATAACGGATTCTTCCTCTTCGTCGAAGGTGGGTTTAGTATGACGAACGAGAATATGATGCTTGTAGTAGTAGATCCAGGGGACATGGGGCATACACCCCCCTCTCCCACAAAATGAAATCTGCCATATGCCCTTTACTTTTAGCAAAGTGATGCATGTGCACATACTGTCGTACTCTTGTCCCGGTAAAATCTGAGAACCTCTTCTGTTGTTGTTGTTGTTGTTGTTGTTGTTGTTGCTTGTCAGCATTGGCGTAGCTACAGGACGGCACAGGTGGCATTTACCTACTCCCATCGAATGGCAAACAGAAAAAGAAAGGGGGAAACAGGGGGAGGGAAAGGAAAAAGGGGGAGGTAAAGGAAAAAGGGGAAGGGGAAGGGGGAAAGCATGAGAAACGGTCGATGGTGAGATACCGTCCCGCACCCCCACTCATCGGTTGCCTTTTAAATTCACACTTAACTTTACAAATAGGATGGGTGCCCCCATCCCCTGCCCCCCATGATGTAAGTGACCCTTCACTGGCTTGACTCACGCTACGTCCCTGCTTGTTAACAGAACTGTTTCCTCCACCCCTCCCCTGCTCCAGAGTTCTGGTTCCGCCACTCTTTCCGAAGGATGTATGTAAAGGAATTTGACCCATTTTTCAGCTTATAGAGCCTATTTGACATTGTGGGGGGAAATATACATGTAATCGTGTGGCCCAGTTTTATATCATAAGAAATGCAGCTAGGTATATTGTAACAGGATAGGACTATTTTCAAAAATTCAAGCTAACGCAATTTCAACATGTTCAGTTTCCTTGCGCGTAACCTATTTAAATGTTCGGACATGACGATGACGTAATCTGAACATGAGTTCTATACATACATATCGGAATTGCCTTGAGTTTATTTTTCGAAAATAGTATCAATTTATACCTTCTTTTGTTTCCCGCATAACTCGCATTGAGCCTGAGGGATAAGTTAAAGTTCGATGGTTTCATGATTTATTTTTACCTTATTGCTAAGAAAGCATAATGCTTGTCAGTAAGCAACCAGGGGACCGACGACTTTAGGTCCTCTCCGGGGGACTTGGTAATAAAGTTTTGTATAATGATCAATGCCTTACCAGAGGGCACGAACGCATTGACCTTGGTTTCGAATCAGGGACCTCCCGGGCTATCATGCCTCTTTAATAATTTAAAATGGTAGAAACGAAGTAAAACATCATAATTGATTAGGCACAGTGGGGAAGGTGGAGGAGAAAGTGATGGAAACAAAGAATTGTGGAAAGGCTACAAGGAGAAATACAAGGCTTATAGTTTTTCAAATCTAATAAAATCGGGCTGTGAATCAGAGCGTGTTTTAAAACAATACTAAAAAGGTGACGTAAAAATATGATACATCTCGTTAGATTATCCTGGAGAGTAACACTAGAATTCCCCCGTGATATGCAAAAAAAGTGAGATTCCCGTAAAATATCAAACTCACTAAAAGCATAGCTATCGGTCATCAACTTGTCAAAGAGATTTATTTGAGACGGATCGGTAAACACACAGTCTGCTATCGGCCCGTATCGAACTACCTTACATGTGTACCTGAACGCGCCCATGGGACGAGTACTGATGACAGGCAAGCTATGCTGAAAGGGTCACCGGGCAGGGCAGAGTGCGTTTGCATTGCGACCTTGTGGTATATGAGCAACGACTTTTAGAAGAGCTTTTAATACGAACAAGATAGTTTCAAAAAGTTGCATTTAACGATTTACTAATAAAAAACCTAGAAAAAAATAAGAAAAAGAAGAAAACAAACAAATGTAAATCACATTTTGGGAATGCTTTTTATTCTATAAAACGTTACAGGGCGTACTGACCCAACTGCTGATGAAATGTCCTCTTTTCTGGGGTGGCAGGGCGGGGGCTCCCATTGGGCGGGGGCAGAAGGGGTAGAGGGCAAGTTCCCCTCCCCCAAATAAAAAAGAAAAAACTGGGTATACATCAATTATACATATAAACATAAGTGAAAAAGAATAAACAAAAGCACCATAAACATAATAATCCAAGTTACTGTGGCTAACGTCGTAAAATTGCGAATATAATTGAAGAGGAGGAAAGGCATATTACAAGCTGCATCTCTGAAATGTATATTTTCTATTCTATCGGTATACAAGGCTTATAGTTATTGTCGAAATTATAAGGCAAAATATCAAGTTGAAATTCTATCACAAGTGTCCGCCCATCGTGTGTTGATGTAGCCACAGGGGTGGTTTGCCCGGGGCAGTGGAATTTCGAACCAAACTTTGTTTCATAGCCGGGAGGTTAGCAAACTTTGCTTCTAGAGTTGACTTCGGGGTCTTGCAAGTGACGAGAATTCAATTTCAATATCATGTTTGTGTGTCGAAAAAATACCTTTCAATGCAGTTTTAGATGCATGTACATATTGCTGAGAGCCATAAGGGCGTTAAGTCATGTCCTTTAACAAAGATTTAACGCCCTTCTGGCGCTGAATAGACGAAATTCACTGCGAGTTTGGCTGTTCATCACCCCTTATCATTTCTTATAATTCTTAAGTGTTAATCAATATAGGCCTAACTGTGTACGTACATTTTATGCTATTGGTTTGGCTTTTCTCCCTTTTTTAAAGAAGGAAATGATAAGGTACCCCGTAAAATAGTTTGCAGGACTAATGCCAGAATAACAAAATTACGCGGGTTCTAATATAAAGCTTAATTACCACACCTCAATATTTCACGTCAAAATGCAGACTTGAATACTTGATCAACCAATTTAATTAGTCGGACAATTTGGCGCACATCCCTACCACGCTCCTCACTACCACCACCCTTATACACAATTCAAACACATCTAGCTAGGGACACTCTTGCGAGAGAAAGAGAACTTTTAGGAGAGGATGAGTTAACATAATGTCACTCTTTCACTCCCTCACATGGCCATGTTATAGTGTATGGACTACCCCCAAGGGACGGTGATGAGAGGCCTTCATATTTTAAGTCCAAAAATCTCATTCTGCAGTTGAATGTTATTGGTGGAAATAAACTTCTTCCAGTGGCGTATCCAGACCCTAGTCTCATCAGGGTCCAACGTCAGGGACCCGTTTCACAAAAGTTATCAGTGAAAAATTACAGTTTTTGTTATAAGGTACTAAAATCCTTGCTTCTGATTGGTTATCAGCAGATTTGTTCCTGATTGTTGTCATTGACAAAAGGCTTTGTCCCTGAGCTTACTATGTTCTGTATGGTTCAGCGAAGAAAAATACTTTTTGTGGGGCCCTGGTTTGTATTACGGAAGGGGGAGGCGGGGGCTCTCAAACACACTCGTTGTAAGGAGACGAAAAAAGTGAACTGCTGGAATGGATGGACGGACAGCTTTAGAATACAAGACACAGCAACATTGTATTTTGTACGAGCAAGCAAAGGGAGCGAGCGAATAATAGGGGACATTCTTTTGTCTAGAAGACAGTCTGTCAAGGGGGCAAATTGTCCCCATACCCATCATTCAGATAAGCTAGGGTTATCTCTGTACCTTTTCCACGGCCTGACCACCGCGGTCCCAATATAAATGACTATCTCTACCTCTCTCTCTGTCATCATCACTCTTAAACCATGCTCTAAAAAGGGATTATGAAAACAAGCATAATGTCTTTATTTTTGTATCGAACATGTCGGCAGTTTCAGCAATATTGCCTAGACCACCAGCCAGATGAAGAAACCTAGAAACTCTCATGAAATTTGAAAGATTTCGAACAAAATTGTTTGTCAGAAAAACAAGCTTAAATGTTGTTGCACCTTCTTTTCCACTTATTCTCCTTCTCTTTACCTTTTATATTTTTAAAACAAAAATAAAGCCATTCTGTTTATTATGTCATGACCTTATTTCCTTTTTCATGTTTCATGTCGCCAGTTCCAGTAATATTGTAAAGACCACCAGCTAAAACAAGAAACTTTTAAGATATTTTAAGATTTTGTGCAAAATTGTGAGTCAAGACAACGAGCGTTACTGTTGCTTTACCATATTTTGTGACCATAATTTTCCTTTTAAAACAAAAATAAAGTCACATTTATTACTTGTCTTTATACTTTGTCTTTCTGGCAGTTAGATCAAGAAACCTAAATATTAACAAATGTTGAGCAAAAGTTTGTTTCAGCGTAACTCGGGTTTTACCATAATTCCTGACCATACCTTTCCTTTACCTTTGCTTTGTTCTGTTTTTTAAATAAAGCAAATCAGTTTACTATGTCTTAGTCGTTCATTTATCATGTTGGCAGAAGGAAAAGGCTTGTCCATTTCCAGGTGCCTATGGGTCGAAAATTGAAAAAGCTCCAATTGTTTGTGATGTGTAGTTACTGTAGGTGTTCAGTAACTCCAGGGAGTTAGTGTTCCTGTTGTGTCGTAAGAAGGAGGGTTGCACGAGCCGGTTGTGCACCCCCCCCCCCCCTCCTCCTCTACCACAAATCCGCCATTATCCATGTCTGTGGTCATTTAGCATGTTGGCGACAGTGCTTAGCCTAATTCTGAAAAATCTCTCTCAACACGCCTTGTGACAGATGAATTTCGACCGCCGAGGGTCGCCATCACAAGGGACCGATTGAAGGGGAATGGATGGAGAGAGGGGGCGAGGGGGCGGGCCAGAGACAGCACACCGGCGCGGTGTCTTTAAAATAGGTGGCCTTTAGGGAGTTGGAATCCAAACATGGCGCTTTTAACATTCATGATGATCGACAAATTTCGATTCATAACTCCATTGTATAGAGTAATTGTTAACATTACTTCTTCTCTCTCTCTCACTTTGTCTTTCTCGCTCTGTTTTTCCTGTATAATTTTCTCTCCCCTTTTTCTATTTAAATTTCAACCCTCTCTATTTCTTTCATTCTCTCTTTTCCTCTGACCTTTATCTTTCTCTTCTATATTTATGTCTCTCTCTATTTGTCGTAACCTTCAGTTTTCCTCTTCTATCTTTTGCCACCCTCTCCCTCTTTGTTCCTTCTCCCCTTTCTCTCTCTTTCTGTCTCCCTATCTCTTCCATCATTTCCCATCTAACCACGCTCGCTCTTTCATTCCTCTCTCCTCTTTTAACAATCCCCCTCCCTCTCTCACAACACTCTCCGTTGTTCGTATACATAATGATATATATATATTATACATGTATGTATATATCTCTCTCTCTCTCTCTCTCTCTCTCACGCACAATACACACCCACACACCTCCAACCGTTGTTCCTATGCGAATCTCTCTTCCCTTTATTCTTTCTACACCCTCTTTTCTCTCCCCCCCCCCTCTCTCTCTCTCTTACCTCTCTACGTTGTTTTATAAAACTTTATAATTTCTGTGGATCTTCTTACTTCCCTCCACTTAATATCTTATCCTCTTTCTCCCTCTCTTTTCTACAGCTGGTCGAATCGACCATGGTCATCACGACGGGATGGCACTGGACGCCCTGACCGAGACCCTTGCTTTGGACGAGGCCATCGGTGTCGCTCTCCGCCTCACGAGCGCCGAAGATACGCTCATCGTGTCGACTGCCGACCACGCTCACGTCATGACCATGGCTGGCTATGCATCCAGAGGAAACCCCATTCTCGGTAAGACGACGACGATTATGACGATGGTGATGGTGACCACCGTAAATGTCGATGACGATAAGATAATGACATTGTTTTATTGTGCATGATACAGGGTGTCTCTTTGCGCTTTACAAATCTTATGTTAAAGAGACTAAATTCATCCAGTGCAAAGAATCATAAAACTAGACGACTGGTAAAAGAAGAAAAAAAGAGCCAAAGGTTGCCGAATGCGATGGTGAACTAAACTCTTCGAGGTGAAATTAAGAGCCGAATGCGGCGAGGGAAGATAATAAATTATTGCCCCTGCGATCAGCGAAGAGGCGATAGGATTTCCCACAGCCCGAGTCAGGGAGTGATCTGAGGCGACTATGATTTGTCATGTGACCTTGTTGCTTTGACCAATCATGTCACAAGGATTTTAGAATATGGAACAATTCACAACATAATTATTATCCATAATTGAATTGTACTCAAATGAATAAAAGATGAATAACCCCAGTATCACTATTCTTCAAATTGAATGTAATGGGGAAAGGCAAAAAAAATGAATGGACCAGAATTTAGGAATACTAGTACATCCTTTCTATTCCAATCCCCGTCAATGAATATAAAAAGCCAATTTCGAACGATTCAGTCTTGCTAAATACCAACCAATCTGTGAAAATATTTATTATGTTTAAAAATTCTGGTAATTGTTTTGTGTGTTTATATTTCATTGTTTAGGCCTTGAGGACCATTACCTTGCCGATGACGATCTACCATACGCAACTCTCAGCTACGCCAATGGCCCTGGGGCCAGACACATGGCATCTTCGTTCCAGAAGCATGGCGCTCGTGAAAATTTAACATCAGTGGACACAGGTATACATGCTTAATTAGATCAAGAGTTGTATGTGGATGTGCGTGTGAGTGTTAGTGTGTGTGTGTGGGGGGGGGGGGGTGTCTTATTGCTTTTGAGGATGAAATTAATGCAACAGAATAAGTTTGACCATTTAATTCACCTTCCATTTCTTTCACTGTTCTCTCCTTTTTATCATTTTAAAAACACCATTTCAAGTATTGGGGCGGCGGCCCAGTGACCCAAACGCAATGCTTATACGCTAATTACCAATGTTAGGCCTATGCATCAATTTGTAATATCACTTTTTTCCTTCATATTTTCAGAGGAAACTGGTCACCGACAGCAGGCGCTAGTCCCCTTCGACGAGGAGACGCACGGCGGCCAGGACGTCATGGTGTACGCTCGGGGCCCCATGGCGCATTTATTCCACGGCGTTCAGGAGCAGAGCTACATACCTCACGTGATCCGGTACGCAGCGTGCCTCGCGGGCGAGACCGAGCACTGCACCAATGGGCAGGCCCGTTGGTGCGAGGGAGGTACTGCGAGCGCGAGCAGTAGCAGTAAGACAAAGGAACAAGCTGAAGTTGAGGCCCACGTGGGCGCGTCGGCCGTAAGGCGGACGCACGGTGGAATGTTCCAAGTTATTGCGTGCGCGTTTTTAGCCAGTTGTATTAGGTGGATGCTGCAAACGACTGCATGATGTGGGCGATATTTTTTATATTATTAGTTTTAAAAAATGTCCTGTTTTAAACTCTCTTTGATGGCCAGTATTCTACTAAAATTTAAACCCGATGCTCCGCCTAGCTTAACTTTGGTTCAAAATCTGGTTTAATGACCGTGAAAGGAAGTTGTCTGAAGTCTATCAGATATAATTGCGTGATCTTAAACCCAGCGTCGGGTCTAACTTATATAGTAGAAAACGATCCTTCACGTTTCGCATTCCATAATAAACGGGTTACAGCAAAGTAACGGAGGATGTTGAATGTTAAAGGAAACCAAAACCTTCATACTAAGTTACTTTTATTGTAAAGTTTAAGATATTTGAAAAATATCAGTGAAAATTTGAACAAAATCGGGCAAGGAATAAGGAAGTAAGAGCTTTTTGAAATGACTAGTCACTAGAGGGCGGTATTCAAGGGCGGTGAACAACTCTTCATGCCTTTTGTACATCAAATTCCATGTTTTTCCTTCTTTCTTGTGATTGAGATAATGTACTCCCCTGAAAGCAAGATATAGAATGCAAAATGATATTCTACTTCACATGTTATGAAGTCGGATCAAGAACACAAATAAATACGAAGAAAAAAAAAAAAAAAAATTGTGAAATTTTATGTACAAAAGGCATGGAGAGTTGTTAACAGATGATGTCATCAAATTGAATACCGCCCTCTAGTGACTAGTCATTTCAAAATGCTTGAACTTCCTTGTTCCTTGCCCGATTTTGTTAAAATTTTCACTGATTTTATTCAAATCTTTTAAACTTTACAATAAAAGTAACTTAGTATGAAGGTTTTGGTTTCCTTTAAAAAAAAATGCAGCTTCCATAGCACCAAGATCTTAAAAGTAGTTAAATCCCGATGTCAGAAGTTATTCGCACACTTAGGCACATTATGTGTCCCCAGTTTTAGCCGATCAGGTTCATGCTATTATCTTTAATTAAAACCTGTCGGTTAATCTAATGGGAAATTTGATTGGCTAATGTGAGAACACTGCTGGAGGAGTTCTGATTGACTTATGTTGGGAAATGCTGATAGTTTTTTATTTTTAAAAATCTATTTCTATTAGTTATGTTATTAAAACATTTCTGTACAAGTATCATGAAACCAGGATTAAACATTGGTAGTAAATTGATGAGATGTTGAATTTAGTGATAATTTATACTCTGCGTCATATCTGCAGAGAGAGAATGCTAATGAAATTTCTAATAGACCTAGATCCTAAATAACATGAATGTGAGGATTCACATCAAATCAAAGGGATACCGGGCGAGTTCGCCACAAACCTCTTTAGTTAAATCAAGATCACCATCCAAACATGCCGCTCTTTCTCAAAAAGCTGTTTATAGAAGTGGGCGTCTCGTAGGAGGGGGCTAGCTATAGGCCCTTGAGACTTGATTCCTGTTCATTCTATCTCTTCTCTGTCTTCACTGAGGCAGTTTATAATTCTTTTTTTTTAAAATAAATTAATGTAGTGCGATAATAACAGCTTTAATTTACAAATGGTTCCATGTTTTAAAAGCCTGTTGCACACGAGGCGTTCTTGTGCTATCGTAGGACTCCGTCAGCGACCGCTGTGGTCTTTGACGCTCCTTACGAGAGCACTTTTATCCAAAGAGTGTTCTGTAAAAATGAACAGTCCACCGTATGTACTGCTTTACACTTCTGGTGTATGGGCAAACTGCCTTCACAAGCTCGATGTAGGTAATACATGGAGCACAATTGGAACGACGTCTTGTGTGCAACGGATATAAATCTCTGTAAAGTTGATGCAGAGACAATGCAGGGTATAATATAGTTATTTTATGTGAAGAAAGTACTTGTTGGACTTTATATGGCTGTACTATTGTTGTATACATGTATGTAGTTATTAAAGTGATATTGTATGTACATATTTTCATGGATATTTTTAGAACTTAGTTGTAAGTAATTTACTATTTTAGGACGCGCATTTATACTGGACATGTCATATACCTCTGAAAATATCTCCACAATGCCTTCGATATTATAGTCATTTAAATCCTTGTCTACATTTTTATATGCGTACATAAGTCCGAGAGAATAGTGTCTCTTTGATTTCCTTGATTCTAGACTTTTTAAGTGTGGCGATAGTAAAGTGTGATATTATTTATGGCCAAGAGAGATATATTTTCAAGGTTAATTTTGAGTGTAAGAGTAGAAACCATGGTGGATAAGTGTCACTCACATGTCATGTTGCTTTCAAAATGGGATAACCTTTTTCCTATGAATTGGCCAGTATGAAAGAAAGAAGGAAGTAACACTCTTCCTTTCTTAAAATCATGTCTTTAATCACTATGGATCAAAACTCTAGATTGCCATGTTTAGAAACATAATACACTGTATGTGTGTCAACAGTTGACTATGGTAATCCTTATTTGCTACATCAGTTACAGAAAGCTAGTGGTAAAGGGTTGATGTATAAACTGGATGTACAAGTGTGTATACAAAAATTATAGCAATCGAGTCTTTAGTCTTCCTTTGTATGTGTATTGGACAAAAGAAATCATTCCAGATGTTAGCAATTCATTTGAAACTAACCATATTTATATTGTGTTATTACCCCCATAATAATGATGATCATGGAATCTAGGCGTTGTGGCGTGCGCCTGTAATCCAGCTAAAAAGTGGAAGTTACAAACTGATTCAGCCGAGGACGCAGGTTCGAAACTGAGTCACGTCTTTCGGATGGTGACGTTAAAAGGTCGGTCCCAGACGTTAATAATCATATCTGATTGATACACGTCTGTAAAAACCCAATACACACACTCTTCCAACAAAAAAACTTCAGGTTATACATAGTTCATTCAAAGGCAGACAAACAAAATCTCTCTCTCTCTCATTTCTACATTTAATTTATAACAGTAAGCCTATTGCTTGAACGACTAGATCAAGATCTTGTATCAAGATAATTAAGACTACATGTAGTTCAAAGTTTTCAATGTATCCATTCTTCACAAATTACTTTAGCTAGATGAATAACTGAAATGAAAATAGTTATGAAATACAATAACAAATCAAGTTGAGTATCTGGTAAAACAAGGTAAAGCGATTACATGGATGCATACTTTTTCAGGAGATATGTTTCTATGATGCGAAAGCTTACAAATGTTTTTCATCTCGACCAGAACTCAACCTGTTTATTTTAGGCCTGATTTAGGTTTAATATTTAGTTTCAGAAATAAGTGATTTGTTGAAGATAAAGACATTGCCACTTAACACTCCATTAGTCAGTGAACTAATTCAACCGACTTGCATTATTTGAAGACACTTGCCGATTTTTCAAGACAGTTGGCAAGGTTCAGTTTTCATCTTAATTTTGCTCACATGACATTGTGTTTCTTTTGATGTAATTTTATATTGTGTACAAATGTTATAATAAAATTTTACAATGATAAAAAACAAATCAGGTGTCGGCTTGATTTTGTGGATTCACTTTGTTAACAAGGCATCGTTTCACGAAAACGTCCTGAATACAAATTCCAAAACATTCCATTGAAACACATGTAAATTGTAATACACACTTTTCAACGGGAAGTCTGTGATTTTGTACTTACGACAGTTTTGTGAAACGCTGCCCAGATGTGTATGAATTACATTTCTAATGAATATAACAATCAATCACGTTCATAAACAGACATACATGCATTTCCGATGTAAACCAAGGGACTCATATGTACACTTCATTTTGTTATTACATGTTCGAAGAGACACATTTTTAAATGTGGTCTTAATATAACATCCCGAGGACGATCTGGAAATTTACCGCCTAACCGAGGACCTTCATTTTCTGTGTAAATAGGGCGCCTAAATAAACGTACCCTTATATGAAAGGGCCTCAAATTTCAAACAATTTTACAGAATACTCGTTTTGCAAGTACATGTAGTCGACACACATACACTCATACACCCACATTTTTAAAGACAAACTTAGTTATGCATGCACTATAAAATCAAGTCAATAGTATTTCGTCGCAACCACCACAACACCAGTAAATTAACCGGTAGTAGATGAATGAAGTCGACAGCTTAGGCAGAGTTGGGATCAGACCAAAATAAGACAAAATATATAATTTCCACATTACTCCTGCTAACTATTCCAAGATATATAATCCTCAGAAAAAGTTCTGCAATTCAGCTAGGCTCTAAAGTTGATGTCTCTCTTGTTAGTATATCATAGTACTTGGTGTTGGTATTGAAAAGCCCGTTTATTCCCATTTACAACGATCCCCCATTTGTAATGATTGTGTGATCATGAATTTTGAGTAAGGGAGTGGAAATTTTTGACAATTTTACAGGATCCTCGTTTTGCATGTAGTCGACAAAATGAAGGTAAAGTTCTTTAGATTGTCTTTGGTACCCACCCACTCATCCACCCCAAGCACGCACACACACATGAGCAAACAACCACTTATTAAAACAAACCTAGCATGCACTATTAGGGCAAGTCGAAGGTATTTAGTCCCATCCATCACGGACAAAACCAATAAATTTAGTAGACCTGATGGATGAATTAAGTAGACAGTTCTAGCAGAGTTTGGATTAGACAAAAGAAATGACCAAAAATTGACTTTCAATGTTACTTGATGCTTACTATTCCAAGATAAACACCTCAGAAAAGGTTCTGCAAATCAAGTTAAACCGTTCATAATTCTCTTGATAGGACATTACCATACTTGATGTTGGTATCGTTGAAAAGCCCGTTTTTCCTTTTTCAATGGATGACCCTATTTGATCATGGAATATGCAGTAAGCCTGAATATTAGGCCCAAGTGTGTTATATAATATATTGTCAATAGTGAATTCTTCATTTGTTTGGATGGTGTTTTGAAACAATAACTATGCATTGTGCAATTACATAATCATTACAAATGGATGAATCTTGTAAAGTGGAATAAATAGGCTTTTCAATGTTACCCATGTCAAATATGATAATTTAGTAACAAGAGAGATATTAATGCTCAAAATTAAATTGCAGAACTTTTTGTAATGTAGTGGACACAGAACAACCAAATACCTAAAACTTGCCCATAAATAAATGTACGACTCCATCCTGATTATCTTTCTAAAAATCCTCATAGGGAGAAAAAAATGATGGGGGGGGGGGGGGGGGGAGTACTCATACATTAGGGAAAATTGGGGTGTGCCGCTCTAATGGGTCACTTTTTCACACAAAAATCCCTAAACATGGGTCCCACAAAAATACCATTTTAGATGGGTCCGTTTTTTCTAAATTTCCAAAATTAACACCTGAAAATTGTGAAAAATGGGTCTTTTTTCGAGAAAAATTACCCAAAATTACCCCTAATAATGGGTAGATTGTTCAATGCAAGTCCAAACCAAATCTGAGCATCCCCCCCCCCCCACCGGAATAAAGGCATACTTACGCTTTCAGTCTTGCACCTTGCGAGTATATCTCAAGTATAGAGAGAAAAACTCAAATCAAATATCCTTATAGCTTACAAATGGTTTTGTTTTTTCCAGCGACTTCTGTTTCCCTCTTCACTTCAAACAAAGTTTTACCCCCATCTATACAACAAGGTATGTCAAATAGAAAAAGGGCATATACGAAGCTTAAGAAACAACTGTTGTTTATTCACATTTTCTTGGGAAACAAATATACATATATCTCAGGTCATGTAAGGTTGAATTCTTTACAAATGAAACAAATTTTGACTCTTCCATCCAGAACAGGGGGGTCTGTGGCTGTCAATCAAAATGCTATTTTCTAATATTTATAATCCATTTTGATTAAAAAGCACAGGTGGCAGGCTTGAATGACTGGCACAGACTTTAGGGGGGCTTCAAAATTATGTTTTCACAAGAATTCCACGAAAGAAATGACATGAAAAAATAAGCAAGAATTTGCATCAAATGAGGCAGCAAATTCTTGAACTTTTTAAAGGCAAAATTGAAAGAAAATATCAAGTTCTGGTAGTAAAGTTAAGAAGAAAATTCTTGAATATGTCATCACTATTTTGTTCCATATGTATCAGAAGGCACATGTGCCACATATCTGTAGACCGATGTTCAGACCAAGTTTTCTGATGAAGTTAAAGGCCACCATACATTATACAATCAATTTGGAATCAGAGAAAAATAGGCAACAACATGTGACTAGAACATTCACAAATATAGATTATTTATGATTTAAGTTCTAAATAGTCATACAAGTAATAATTCTAGCCAGTGGATAGTTTAAATCGGCTCTGAATCCTACATGTACTGACATCAGACTAGTCCTGTGATTATCTATGATTTCAAGCTTACCAGGGGCAGTATTCTGACATTCACTTTTTTTCTCAGCTAAAATCTGAGATTTTTTCTAATTGAGATAAAATACCCTTAAAATCTTCTTAAATCCGTATTTTGAGAATCATTTCAGCCAGATTTAATCTCGCTGAGATACGCCCATTTCAGCTGGGATAACCAATATTTAAAAAATTGTTTTATTTCACTCTCTTCATGTTCAGCCAATTTAAATGCTGTTCTACCAGTCTCTTTCGGTAGAGAGCGCTTATCGGTATGTGCAACTTTTACAATTTCGTTGTGTATGCCTCAAAGTGCAAACATGTTTTTGCTAAGAATTTCCTTGAAAAAAAGACTGAGCCAGTTCCAGAGGCTTTTGAACACCATTACAAGCATCATTTCAAGTATGATATTAGTCTCCAAAAAATCTTGGAATGAAACTTGATAACCTGACGAGAATGTTGCTTGAGAAATATAGTCTATACTCACATGTTTTTTTGTTTATTTTGATAGCATGACTAGCAGTATACTTTGTACTTGCGTCAAAGAGATAAATAAGCCCCCTACCCTATTTTAAGTACTCTCTCATTTCTCATAGTGAAATAATCCGCGCATATCATGCATATAAATATAATAGGCACGCAAGAAGTAAGAGATCGAGTTAAAAGTCTCAAAATACAGATTATTTTATCAAGATAAAACATTTAAGAGATAATATGGTGCTCAGAATACCACCCCTAGATACCTGTATGTTGTATGAACTTCCTCTGCTAATAGCCTGCGAAGCCAGTTTCTTAAAAGTTGTTTAAATAAGGCGATGCAATATTGTCGATTAAACTCCGGTACTTGCCCCTTTCTTTTCATAATGTTAACCATGGTTGCTGTTATGTCGTCTGAACTTCTTCTCCTTATAGCTTCGGAGCCAGTCTCTTAAAAATTGTTTTAATAAGGCAATGAAACAATTTTCGATGAAACTCCTGTACTTGCCACTAGCTTTTCTTAAAGTTCACCAAGATGAATATTATCTTGTCTGAACTCCCTCTTCGAATAGCCTCTGGATCCAATCTCATTCTAGTTGTCTGAATAAGGCAATGAATTATTGTCAATGAATCTCCTGTATTTGCCCCTAGCTTTTCTGAATGTTCACCAAGATGACTGTTATATTGTCTGAACTCCCTCTTCGTATAGCCTCCGAAGCCAGTCTGTTACATGCTGTCTCGAACAGCACATCATCCTTAGACTTTCCTTCTGATTGCTTGACATTTTCTCCCTGCACGAAAACAGAAAAGAACAAAAGGGTGGAGAAGCTCTGTGAGATATGTAAGTCTACTTTCCCCTATCAATAATCAGCCATAAAGCTGTCACATTTATCAGCAGTATGTCAATTTGCTCTCTGCAGCCATTTTGGAAACTGAGCAGGAAGAGGGGGGAAAAAAATACTTACACCTTGGTGCACCAACTGCTGTCCTACTTTTTCTCCTGAACGCAGTTTAATGTGATGTTGGAATTCAATACCACATTGTAAACTTTCAAATATCACCAGCTCCAAACCAATGTGACTGACATAGCAACAGCCCTACTTTACTTGATAACCCTTTGTTTAAATAGGTATGAGCTATAGGTTAACTTTCATGCCAAGCAGAAGGTCGGGCCCAAGCAATGGCTTCAGCATTTAGGTGGGCATAATTTTTTGCTAGGTAGCTTAAACTTCTAAGCAAATGCTAGTTTTTACAGATACAGTCTAACTCCTCTGCCTTCTATGGATATATTTATCAAAAGAAATTATATTGGAGAATAACTATTGAGCTCTCTAACTCACATCTAGAATATCGTTGGTGAACTGCATGCTTCAGCATGAAGGTGGGCATAAGCTTTTGCTAGGTAGCTTAAACTTTGTAGCAAATGATAGTTTTCACAGAGGCAGCCCAATACCTCTGCCTCCTACGGATACATTGATCAAAGAAAAATTTATTCAACAAAAACCTAATAAATTCTCTAACTCACATCTAGAATATCGTTGGTGAACTGCATAACAGCTTCGGCATCGAAGCCTTCCCATAATCCATCACAGGAGAGCAGGACGTAGCGGTCGTTGTCTCCCAGTTGGCATTTCTTGATGTCCGGCGTGCAGATGACCCCCGAGCGCTTGAAACGTCCATCACCGATTGACCGCGAGACCTCTAAAATGCCCATTACCCTTCCATTCCTGTCAGTACATGAAAATAAATGCAGAAGTGTTACAGTTGAATGGTTTAATACCCTTGATTGGAGATGCACAGGTCATGGGTTTGAGCCCATCCTTTTAAAGCCCCACTGCACTACTTATAGCTACTTGCACAATCTATATAGCAAACAATGCCTAATCGGTGACCATTGGTCCCCCATGGTTCCCTTTTTATTATGTTAATTGAGAGCTGATTTGATGAGATAACCACCTGTCAGTGACCATGCAGGGAGGTCTAATCCCTCCTGGCCAAACTAGTGCGGTTGGGATTTAACTCCTAACTGACAGATATAAAAGGAAAATGAAAGATATGATAAACCTTTCTTCTTCTTTTTTCATTTGTTTGTTCAGGATTTTTGGAGTAACAAAAATAGGATGACCACATCCTGAGTAAATAACCACAGCCTAGTAGTATCTTCACTGCCTCTTCGTATCTTGACCACACCTTAAAACAGAACTGTACCTCACATTGCTACCAGCCTTCTGTATCCTCATTCTCTCATCGTAATCGGTCGGGGTGTGGTCCTTCGAAAGTGGTAGGAACTGATGCTTTTGAGTCTCAGGGTTGTAGCGACAAAGGAATGCCTACACAGAAGGAGAAGAAGAAGTTGAAAAAGAAGAAGATGGACATGAATGTTGTGAATCTTACTACCGTATCCCTAAGTTTGTCTATCCAGTGAGTGTTGTCGATATTGACTTGTCATATTGCAGAGAATTTTTCTGTCCTGAAGTTTGGATGTATAGAGTATTATAAATATTAGACTTGTCCTATAATATGGTGAGGTAAATTTTTCTATGCCTAAATTTGGCTATCTATAGAATGTTATCAATATCTCACTAATCATATACCGGTAGCTGCAATATGCTGCAGAGTATTTTACTATCCCTAAGATTGACTATGTACAGATGTTATCAATATCTGAAGAGTCATATTGTATTTTGCAGAGAATCCTACTATCCATAAAATTTGCAATGCCCAGAGTGTTATCAATATCTGAACAGTCATATTGTATTTTGCAGAGAATCCTACTATCCATAAAATTTGCAATGCCCAGAGTGTTATCAATATCTTACTAGTCATATTAGACGGTGCAACAAATCTTACTATCCCTAAGATCGACTATGTTTAGAGTGTTATCAAGATCGACTAGGGGTAGTCAAACTAGTCATATATAATCTGACAAAAAAACCTTACTATTCCCCGGAATGGCTATGTAGAGTGTTTCATCAATATCTCACTAGTCATATACCTACAACATGATGCAAAGAATTTTACAATCCCTAAAATTGACTATGTACAGACCGTTATCAAAGTCTAACTAGTCATATCATAATATGCTGCAGAGAATCTTACAATCTCTAAGATTTACTATGTACAGACTGATATCAAAGTCAGACAAGTCATATAAAAGGTGCACTGAATCTTCTTATACCTAAGATTGGCCATGTTTAGAATGTTATTAATATATCTGACTAGGGGTAGTCATATATAATCTGTCAGAGAACCTTACTATCCCCAAGGTTGGCTATGTAGAGAGTGTTATCCACCACCAGAACACAGACTGCTGTAGATCCATCCTTCCATACAGGCTTGCTAAGGACAAATCAGAAAGATATAATTATTCTTTTTATTTTAAAGCAATACTGAACTGATGAACTCTCTGCCTTAGCATACCATTTATTGAACAGCGCCATCTCTTGGTAAAATCTCCAACAGTATGCAACCTAAACACTAATTCCCGCTTCATAGACAGAGAACTCAATGTGAGAACCAAAACACATCGAATTACGTACCATACTGTTACAGCTGACCTGAGATAGCACTACAAGGGATGCTTTTAGTACAGTGTGGCTTTAAATCCATACCAGAGGCAAATGAACTTTTTATCGCCCCATTTAGTCTAGCAAAATTCATTGTATAGTTGAATGAAAAGCTGTAAAGCCACTCAATAACTCAATTTTTTTCTAGCATTTGTCCTGTAACAAAACATTGTACATGTATAATGAAACCTTGTACAGCACAACAGAATCTTGAGCATTATTTTCAGCGATAATTCAATAATGAATCTAATTCTGATGTTGTGAACTGTATAACTGGGTGGGGCTTATTGTGAGTGCAATTTCATGATTAGCCAGCTGTCAGGTCAATTGACTTATCATGCCTTTATAAGATGTTTCCCTATACGATACTTTTTCACATGTGTATGCCCTGTTTGCTATACGATGATTCTTATACATTTCCATATAAATACATAAGTTTCATACTGGTAATTATAAATTTCCCAATAAACTGAACCCAAACCAGTCACGATTGACAATACCGGTATTCTTATCAATCTGGGGCAACATACATTTACATCCTGTGTATTGTCATTCACTCATTCTGGACAGAGTCTTGTGGGTGCGATTAGGCTATAAAAGGCTGGTTGCAAATAACCAATAATTATAAGACTAAAATCTGGCTATGTAGTAAGGGAATATGTATTTGGCATTTTTTATTTTGTCAAGTATCAATTTTTAATTATTATCTCTGTCGCATAACCTCAAATCTTCTCTATAATAATATTGTTGCTTCTCCTCTCACCTGGCTGAAGCTTGTTTGAGAAACTCTTCATCGGTGAGCCTGAACGTCTCGATGAGGCACTTCTTTATCTCTTTGTCACGGTTCGTTGTCTCCGTCTTTGGGAATGTGTCAATGATGTGTTTGTGGAGCGTCTTTGCTGCGTGTTTTGATGCCTTGTCACCACTGTGTCCATCGTAGACTGCGTAAAAAGACAAGCGAGAACTGTTGAGAAATTTTGTTTGAGGACAAAAACTTTGTCATTAGAATCTGAAAGATATTAACACGGATAACAAAATGTTTGGCAGTCAATGGTTATATGATATTGAACGGCTTTGATTACTAGGATATATTGCACAAGCTGATTCAGCACGACTTCCAAGGGAACAAAAGCCATTCAACCATAATCTCTTCATTACTTTCATATCAAATTAACATTGATTTTTCCTTATCAATGCAAAGTAGTAGGACATAAATTTACATATGCACCATCTAAATATTTGCACAATAGTACTTTTTAGATGACGTATTCAGGAAAGCAAAATATCCTGATTTCATGGTCATCCAAAAACTTTTCTTCAAGCCTTTTTTCAATGACAAATGACAAAAATCAGTGACAAATCTGCTAATAACCAATCAGAACCAAGGATTTTACTAGCTCATAATAAAAACTGTAAATTGTCACTGATGACAAGTTTTGTGAATTGGGCCCAGAACAAGAATTCTTTAGTCAACTTACACAGTAGAAGGAAGATTTGAGAAGTGTGGTGAGAAGTCATCCAGGATGACATGCTTATCGTGCATTTCATTTCTTTCTCCTTTTCTTTCTGCATAGTAGCCATGTAAACTGTACATTCCTGCAAATGATAACGTGACACCACATTACAAAGGTTTACAGCATGACAAGATATACATTGTAGTGTAGCTGTATAGATTATCTTTATATTGTATCTAAATGTGTTGCTATGCTTTTGATAGCCATGGAAAGCTCATTGTGTGGGAAAAATAGATTAAAGTGAGAGCTCAGATCTAAGAATCCAAGGTGTACCAAAACTTTTGACCAGCACAGACCAGCACACAGATCAGGATAGTTTCTGAATGCACCTCCCCCCACCCCCCCCCCCCCCCTAGAATCACTTTTACTAGACAATAACAAAAACAATCGAAAGAAAGAGCTTTACCTGTAGCCAATCGTTTTGCAGGTACTTCGTCTCCTTGCTCATTGACAGATCTTCTCTTTAGATGTCCAGTCTCCTCTTCTCCTCCTTCTTGTCTTACTTCGTCTTGATATAATGAATTAGTATCTTCTATTTTCTTATCCACTTGGTCATTTGTGGATACCTTAACATCTGTCACATTGGGTTTACTTAGATTAGCTCCATCCTTATGACCTGAAATTGAAAAGGAAAATGAATGACCTTTATTATTTCAAGTCATTAATTCAGCAGACACAGTTTCTAAACTTTGGATGCACCAACACTCTTCAATACCCACAGATTTGTATAGAAACTCATCACTAGTTTCATACAGTCAACATCAAACTGGCAATGCGAAATCTGCCGTTTTCCTACACCGAAATATCACTAACCCTGCTAACCTCATCTATATCAGAGATGTCAACCCTTTTGTAATGTAGATCGCATGTCCGTTCAACATCAACAGGATACGTTCATACATACATGTGCAAAGCTTTCATAATTTTGACCACTAATTCCATTTTCAGAATGTGTTGTTTGGTTACATGAATCGAAAAAGATTCCATCAGTGAAAATGAAATTGAAGTTTGAACAGTGTCGGTGAAGATAGTTTCCATGGTTCACAGGGTGTGGGAACGTGTGATAGTGGACCATGGTCAAGCAAGCGTGTAGCTAGGATTCAATTTTAGGGTGGGCGCGGTAGTGAGCGAAGCGTGGATGGGTGCAGGGAGGGGGCACGTTTTATTAAATTATTAGAGAAAGAAGACAATTCGTTGTACCATTCTCGACTCTTAATTCTCGTCTGAATTCAGTTTCCCCCCTCCCGCTCGGAAGGCTGACGTTTCATTAAATTATTAGAGAAAGAAGACGATTCATTGTACCGTTCTTGACTCTTAATCCTTGTCTGAATTCTATTACCCCCTCCCCCCTCCCACGCAAAGCTTTGACGTTTCATTAAATTATAAGAGAAAGAAGATGATTCGTTGTACCCTTCTCGACTCTTAATCCTTGTCTGATTCTGAATTCAGTTGTTACCCCCCCTCCCGCACGAAGCTTTGACGTTTCATTAAATTATTAGAGAAAGAAGACAATTCGTTGTATCGTTCTCGACTCTTATAATCTTTTTCTGAATTCAGTTTCCCCCCACGTAGAACTTAGATAGATCTAGACTCTAGACGTCCTCCTCTTAGTCTTACTTTTTTTTCTTCTTTTAAGTTTTTGGCCGGCGTTTTTTTTTTTTGCCCCTGTGGTCAAGGTTCCAAAAGCTATTTGGGTCTACAAACTCCACATATATCACCCCACAAATACTCACAATAAGACACAATAAGACACATCATGTCTCAGCATTCTTCCAGTATTTGCGGTAAAGGTAAAGGTAAAGGTATGTAGTCTATAGGGCCTACAATTAATTTAAAAACACATCAGCAGGCTAACCATGAGTAGGCCTACGCTAAATCTAACGTGTGGGACTGAAATGCAAAAATGTTCAGCCTTCAGGTTCAAATAAGTAGACATATTACAGATGATTTACACACATAAACAGAAAATATTGATAAAAAATGGCCAGAAATGCTTACCATGTGTTGGGAGATCGGCAAAGATATCCATTTTATCTCGGAAGGAGACCTTCCCAATCGAAATAAGATCTTTGACACCACAACAAATGTAGTCTTGCCGCAGCGTGCAGACATGGATGGGTTTTACTTTTTTGGCAGGCAGACTGCGAGCTCGGAACAGAGCTAGCTAGAGCTCGCGAGCGGGCAGGACGGCTGCGCTGGTCAACAGGAAATATAGAAGCACTCAACAATGACGAAGAGAGGCACTTATCAGAAGGGGAAAGCGCACTAGCTGTTACAAATGAAAAGGGCACTTTTTAATTTTTTATTTGTATGTGAAAAGGGCACTTGTTAAAGCTAAATGGGCACCTCTCATATTTGAATAGGGGGCAATATAATCCTAGGTGAAGGGGGCACTTAATTATCAGAGGTTAAGAGGCACTTATAGGAACGGGCACCTATATAGGTGTACTTATCTGAAGTAAAAGGGGGCCCCTTTCCTATGTAAAAAGGGGTACTTCAGGGATACTTGAAAAAGTGTGGGGGCACTGTGCCCCTCCCCATTGTCTCCCCTAATTCCCACTGGACCCGTCGCCTCTGATGTTCTCCGTTGTGTATTCAAAATGATGATGCATTTATTTACCTGCAAGGACTACTTTGAGTACCTGTTTTTTTTTCTTCTGTTTGAAAGATTACGCCTACACACGGCCTTCTGTCCATTGATGCTGTGGTCCTTGTTGAAGTTTATTCGAACAATATTCATGCCAGAATACAACCTGTAAGTCTATCTTTCTGTAATTTGGAAATGAACATCCTTTTAACGTGCGTAACCACATTCCTTTCCCAACCAACTCTCTTAACATTGTTCAGTTTTTATGGTATGCAGTAAACTCTTCTTCACTATTATAAACCTAATCATATTTCCTTCCCATCAAGTTATTCCAACACAAATTATTTTTTAAATGATCTGATCTTTTCAGATTAATAAATCACGAGGTTGTGTAGAAGGTTGAATATAGGTAGTAATGTGTTGGGTGTTAGTTGAAGAGGCAGAAATTAAAACAAGGCCTATAATTATGTTGTGTGTATTAAGAACGCAGTATTTATACATAGATTTTAGGTGGGGGTTTTCAACTGTAAAATATTATCAACAAGAGTGAGAGCAAAACAAACAGAAACCATTGACACGATTGCAGGAAAGGGAAGAAGGAAACAATAAATTAATTGGTTCAACAGAATAATATTAATGTACTTTATGAGTTTCATTATTGATAGCTATTGTAATCCTTTTCGGACTTGATAGCAGAGGATATAGACGGAAATATCCACTACGTATAAGGAAGTAAAATTATGCTAAACTCATTCAGAGAAGAGATCCCTTCTTTCTTGGTTATTGTTTATTGCATGATAGGTGGTTAGTGTTGTTATTTTATATACTTTTTTGAATATTAATAAAGAAAGATGAAAACTAACATTAGAAACATTGGCAAGAGCATTTTTGTATAACAGAAATTATAATTTTTTTTTTTATTTCAGAACATAGTTTACATGCACTGCATGAAAATGTTGAAAACTTTACATGAGATATAGAAATACATAGCTGTAACACCGACTGCCAGACATGCAAGATAAAAAGTATAAAATAGTTCCGTTTTGTCATTTTACAAGGGTATTGTTTCAGTTTACATAAAATCATTCACATAAAAGCAGAGTGGGGAATATGTACATTGTATATTTACGTTAAACATTTCATTCTATATCTCCATTGCGATTCCTAGTCAATTAATACTGATTAAATTCGATGTCTTGATACAATTTGCGATCATGATAATTGGCAAGAAGATCAAAAATATAAAGATAACAGACTGGAAATTTCATTCAACAAGCACCAAATGGAACAGAACACGGAGTAAGAGCAAAAATAATTCTTTCAATAATTCATTATGCTTGCTAGGATATCAGCAAATCGTTAACAAATTATTAATCTTGTAATTACCTCAAAGTCTCTCCCCTTTGTTTGCCAAACATACATACAAAAAGTAAGAAATGATGGAGATCCTTTAATCACTCTAACTGCAAGCATGTTGCATGAAACTTTCGTTTGTAGAAGCAAACAAGGAAATCAAATGAAATGACTAAATAAATTAAATGGATACCCGTTTCCAAATTTAATATCTCTAGCTTTCACTTTATATGCAGCATCTAGTTTTAAACTATATGAAGAGGACATTAAGAACTATGAAATTTATGATTAGATTCACAAGTAATCATGAAATTATATGACATAATTGTTATTTTTTAATGACTTTTTGTGTCAACTTCAGCTTCATATAGTAAGATTTTTTGTTGTTAATGCTGTCCCTTATAACGAGTGATTTTACCTGTTACCTACATAAATAATATTGATTAAGCTATACAATTCACAGAGTCAAATTCAATTTTGTGTTTATGAATTCAACGTGAATTATTTTTAGAAACACTATATCGCCACGACTGGTTACTACTTAGCAACATGAGCCGCACAATGAACCACAGACAGGGGAACGTTTATTTTGTACTATAATACACATAGCCTATAAACTAAATGCAATCTTACCAGACAACACAAAACATTTAGACATAATGATATACAGACATTTCCATTTGAAATACACAAATTGATTATTATATTACACATTTATCACTCTCCTGCACTTATTCCTGAGTAATATCGATACAACTTCATTTATTTTTTTAATTACACATGCAAGTGATAAGCTTATCTACTAATAAAAATACTTTCTGTTTCGTTTCACTGTCAATTATAGTGCATTTTATGACTCATGATCAATATGTATCATATTAACGAGGGAAATTATATCGTTGCTATATCCCATTACTGTGATGACATTTGAAGCGATCAAACGTTTTGAAGATAGTGCGAGAAATTTAGAAGTACAGCTTGCAAGATATTCAATAGGTAAGCCTATATCTACAAAGATGAAGGAAGACATATGCCAATTTCTCTACCGCTAATGTTGTTATTAGTCGTCACTTTAACTAGTATTAAATAATTTCCAACAAGCTTCAGCTATGTTCACGAAAAATTTTCTTTACAAAAAAAAGAAAATAATGCTCTTTGGGAAAACTCGTCCAATTACATCGATTTTACTGATCTACAATAATATGAGTCTGATGTTGTCCTTTAAAATCTTACACTAAAATAACCCTGCATGAAAAGTGGTCATTGCTGCGAAAATACTCATGTTTAACCCTCTCATAAACATACGGTAATTAAAGGTCATCTATGATTGAAATATTTACATATCTCTCCCTGAAGGCACGTACTCCACAACACAATCTGAACAATAGAAGAAAACAATGAGACAATCGAGCAAATTGATGTTCAGTATGATATTCCAATTCAATAATATTAACAATTAAATACCGTCAATCTGTCTTGAATGTTAATTGTTTCTCAAGCCATCCTTCATTGAATAGGGAAAATCTATTGTCTATGGGAACTGACAGGTACCTGCGCTAAACTTATGAGAACTTAAAAGCATTTAGAAGAAGACGGATTAACTGTGGTTGAAACAGACAAAATTGAAAGGCACCTCGCGAAATAGGTCATTCCCCCCGTCATTTCCCACGTACATCAATAGTTGTAAGGCGCACAATAAAACAATTCTTATATACTTCTTCACCGAAATTAGTAAAAAGCAATTAAAGCTAATGAAAACAATGTTGGTCCATCTTCCCTGGTGCCTTCAGAATAGATGGAGTCTACTCCAGAGTCCGGTGGCTCCATCGAAGCCGGAAGGCCACTTTTAAATGATGTTTGAGGGCCCATTGAAGAATGTACATCGACTGCTACTTTACTGATGCTATCCCCTCTCTGGTATCCAATGGTGTTGGTGTAAAACTCACTTTCCTGCGCGAGTCTCCAGTGTGTCTATATTTCCAATCACTGTGGAATTACAACCATACTTATACCTCCTCACCAAGATTAGTAAAAGCTAATGAAAACAATGTTGGTCCATCTTCGACGGTGCCTTAAGAATGGATGGAGTCTACTCCAGAGTCCGCTGGCTCCATTGAAGAAACGCCACTCTTGAAGGATGCTTTTGTGGTCCATAGAAGAATGCGCATCAACTGCTACTTTAATGATGCTATCCCCTCTCTGGTATCCAATGGTGTTGGTGTAGAGCTCACTTTCCTGCGCGAGTCTCCCGTGTGTCTATAATTTCCAATCACTGTGTAATTACGACCTTAATTATACCTCCTCACCAAGATTAGTCAAAGCTAACGAGAACAACGTTTGTCCATCTTCCATGGTGCCTTCCGAATAGATGGAGTCTACTCCAGAGTCCGGTGACTCAATCGAAGCCGGAAGGCCACTTTTAAATGATGTTTGGAACCCTTGGTGGTCCATGGAAGAATGCACACCAATGGTGTTGACGAAAAACTCACTTTCCTGCGCGAGTCTCCCGTGAGTTAATATTTCCAATCACTGTGGAATTACAACCGTTCTTATACCTCCTCACCAAGATTAGTCAAGGCTAACGAGAACATCGTTTGTCCATCTTCCATGGTGCCTTCAAAATAGATGGAGTCTACTCCAGAGTCCGGTGACTCAATCGAAGGAAGGCCACTTTTAAATGATGTTTGGGGGTCCATCGAAGAATGTACATCGACTGCTACCTTACTGATGCTATCCCCTCTCTGGTATCCAATTTTATCGGCGTAGAGCTCACTCTCCTGTGCGAGTCTCCCATCGCTCTTTTCCCATTCATTATGGATGATGGGAGGGATCATGGAGGGGTTCGAGATGCCAAAGAGATTGTTGTCGTAGTCGCTGTTGCTAGACAACGGTGGCGGCCACTGGTTGATGTAGCCTGTCCCAGTTATTGAATCACAGTCATCTGCAAAAATAGGAATTTAGTAAGCTCATATCAACAGGACAAATTACGTTCTCCTTTTGGCAAACAAGTTGCCCTGGGGTTGCCTGTTTGAAGAAGATATTGAACAGAATAAACTTAAGGAATCAAACCAGAAGTGAAAAAGAGTAGCTCATATTTAAACCTAAAATGACAAAATCATATTTAGAAAGATATGAATAATGTTAACAAATATTGGAGTAAATATTGATGTGCTTTGAAAATATCTCAATGATGTATTTTATAGATATCGATAAGCTTTAAAGAAGCCATGGTAAATCAATTGAAGGGGTATGCTACCTAGACAAGGTTGTGTTTCGTAAATATCTTCAGGTTTAAACTTTGCAATGAAAAAGTATCAAGAGTTATCGCAAAGATTAATTGAATAACATCAGAGAAGTAATTGATAATTTCCCGATCACGTGCTTATCATGACACTTATTGTATGGAGACTACGAATGAGAATTGTGTTTTTTCCAGTCTTTATAGAAAATCGGAATCAGTACAGACATAAGTTCTAACACGGGGTAGAATAATGCCATTTATAAGATGATGACGTGGATCCTAAATCAAATGATTGGTTGAGAGCGAACACATGACCAGACATTATTTGGCCTAACACAGAATTTCGATAACGACCGGTCGTTAGTAAAATCATGTTATAAAACATCATTTTATAAAACAAATGAAATATAATCTTATAAAACAAATAATACACATCATTTCGTTCGGGCATCAGTAAAATCACCCCCATGCACTCGGTACCTTCAAAACAGTCCAAACACCCTCGGCTATCGCCTCGGGCGTGTTAGACTGTTCCAAAGGTATACCTTATGTGGGTAGTTTTTACTAATGCCCTCACTGCTGTGTATTATTTGTATACTAACCGTATGGCATGTCATCCCGATGAAGCATGGGTGATCTTTCCAAAGTATCTCCTCCAGTCTCTTTCTCATCACCACTTTGTTCGGAAGGACGTAAAGAGCTCCTTCTACGCGTGCGGGTTATGAGGACCGTGATGAGAATAACCCCAAGGATTACTCCCAGAGCTCCTGTCAGCGCTGCCAAATGGGGTGGGGATCCTGATGTATTTGAGGTCTCCTCAGGGTCTCTAGGACGGGTACTATGTGCTGTTGAGGGGGCGGGAGTGGGCATAGCTGCATACACGAGAATAATTAAAAAAAAAAAAACTTATGATAATGATAACAATGACAATAATGATGAGGTACAATCAAATATCTCCACATCTTCACCTATATCTTGCCATTATGTTGTTTATGAATGCCATACTCTCCCTTGCTACTATGTTGTAGGCCTCTTCCTTTCTCTTCCTCCAAGATCTCTATCATCTTCTGCTCATTGCCTACCCCTTTCTTCCTTTCTTTTATTTATAATGTATATTTCGTATTTGTGTATTCGGGCGTACCCAATACAAGCTATGCTTACAGGGATTCACACCTTCTTCCTTGTAATACAAGACAGTTCTTAGATTATATTTATGTTCCAACGTTTAAATTGTATTGTTTGAACATTATGTCAAATATGTTGTCAAATTAAATGGAAGAAAATAAATGTTAATTTGAATTGAATTAATTTGAATTGAATTGAATTATATGACCACGTACACATCACATGGGATGATCAAGATGCCTACAAAGTACTATTATTACCTTGGACTTAGCCCCTCTACCCTAAGACGCTCAGAACATTCAGTAAATGACTTCTTAGTAGGTTATCCATTTACTGCACATGGATGGAGAGTGGCACATTTAGAAGTAATCCACGGTTTAGTGAAGTATCCATTAGACCATGACACAACTTTTAAAGTTGCAAATAAATGCCAGGGGTACTCAAACTCTTAATACAATAAACAAACAAGTGAAAAATAATGATAACTCAAAGAGAAAACTTACCACGAACAGTGATGTTATTTCTCGATCTGAAATACGCACAATCTGGACAAACGGTTTCATCAATACCTACCTAGGAAATGACAACAAATTTAAAGATCTCATTTAAAATACTAAATTTCCCTTTCAAAGAGAAAGATGATGCATAATGTGATCTGTATCTCTATTAAAAAAACTCATTTTTATTTAACCAATATGTTTGGAAGCAAGGAAACAAAAGATATAATGATAATAACAGAAATAGGAGCCCCAATATAACACATATAAAACATTGTGGTTAACACTTATCAAATGAAAAGGTTTTTACATTAAAGTGTTAACATTCAATCAATATACTATTTGAAATATTGAAAGATAAAGACCAGTTATGGTCATGCGATTGCATTGTGAAAAAAAACGTTGTGGAATCGATCAGAAAAGATTGATCATCTAGCATATAAGTATTGGTGTGTACTGCAAGGTTCTGGAATCATCAAAATGATAAGAAATTTGGCCCAGTCTTCGATAAGTTACAAGCACTGTACACAGAAAGATGTATATGGGACTACGCACACGTGCGCGACACGTGCGTTTATCTCTCACATACCAATAGATAAACTAATTTACCAAACATATCAATTAGTAGGCGGTTTCCAGGCAAAATTGTTATCATCATCATGTATTAGTCAAAACATATTCTTTCACATGATTGGTAATAAGAGCTTCCATTTTATTTTTTGAAATTGGGGCGTTTCCAATACTGGTCTTTACCTTTAAACTGATATGACGAAATTCTAATTCTGTAAAAAGGAAATTAAAGAAACTTAAACCACAATAAAAAATCTTTCAACCCGAAGAAGAAATTGTACAAATAGAGACAAAAATATGTATATATCTTTCCATTGACTTACCGATGCTATATAAATTCCCTCGGGAACGTTGTTAAAATACACAGAAGGGATACCATCTCGTTGCTGTAAAAGTAATCGTAAAAAGGTCATGAAGAATAGACCAACTTCCGGCAAGTAATAACGTAAACTGAAGGAACATGAAGGTAAAAGACGCCATTGATAAATATTCAAAGACATCTACTTGTTTCTAAATGAACCAGATTTCATTGGTCTCTTTCATTACATCGTTGGCCATTGTACTATTAAAGTGCATAATGCCACTCTTGTAAATCAATTTACCATATAAGTTGGTTAAGGTTGAACTATATATTATGTTAGGTATTGGATGAGCCTTGTTTAAAAAAAAATCCTTAACGAAATATGCCATTTCCTTGTAGAAAAATGAAATTATAAGATTAACAAAACAGAAATATCAAATATTCCAAATAATTTCTTTTTTGTTGTTGAAAATGTATGTCTTTCATCGAACTTTTGTAAAGAAGTTGGGAATAGGACAAAGTGGGAGGAAATGGCATCATTTTCGACAATGACGTAGTTGTTATGGTTGTGATCTTTATGTACATTCCATATCACTTTACCACAAAATTAAAACTGTTTAAAGACGGGTTGATTATGATTAATAACCTCCTTAGAATGGATTTTATACAAGACAAAATGTAATTTTCATTTTCAACCATCATCATTATCATCAACATCATCACCATCATCACATCATCAACATCTTCACCATCTCCATTTTTTGTTTTAGCTTTTTATCATAACCCCTCCCCCTTCTCTTTCTCCCGGGCTATCACGTTATCAAGCAATCGCTTATTGTAATAGCCCTTCTTCTTCTGCAACTTTCTTAATTAGTAATTCTTGGTATTGTGTTATCAGTTAAATTTTGTTTTAATGTCATCATTTATTATTATCATATTGTATAAACAATAACAAAAAACTTGTTATATTTTGTATATGTTATATCGCTGAAATGTAATTTAATTTGTATGTTGCAGGAGAAAACAAATTAAATTCAATTCCATTTGATAAACTCACTGATTCAAAGTATGTTGCAGACTAATGTGGAATTCTACCTTTCTCTTTAACATCTATTTCCTCAAGTAAGCACTCGCTTATCCCTTCTTCTTCTGCAACTTCCTTAATGAATAATTCTTGGTATTGTGTCATCAGTTTAGTTTTGTTTTGATGTCATCATTTATTATTATCATATTGTATACAAAATTTGATTTGTATGTTGCAGAAGAAAATAAATTGAATTAAATTAAATTAAATTTGATATACTTACTGAATCAAAGTATGCTGCAGAGCGGTGTGGAATGCTACCTTTTTTAACATCAACTTCATCAAGAAAAACATGGTACCGGGGATATTTCGTACTGGTACTGGGCCAAAATGAAACAAATACAGAACCATTGCTGATCTGAGTAATGAAGGGTTTGTATTGTGGCACCCAGTCCTCGGGAGAGTCTGTAAAATAATTACGTATGAACAAACGAGTTCACTTTTAATACGGGTCAAGCTCGCTATCCATAATGATCGCAATTCATGAGGACCATTTTTCATAAGAACCGCTAACCATAACGCGTGACAAAATAAATAGCGGCCCTTATAAATAGCGAGCAAACCATAGACAATTTACCTCGCTATTCATAAGGACCGCCATTCATAAGGACCGCTATCCAAAACTCGGGACTCAATGAATAGCGGTCTTTTATAAATAGCTGTCCTTATAAATAGCGAGTAGACCCCTTCAATACAGCCCTTAAAGTGTATGCTATTAGCTCTTTTTTTTAAAGCAAAACGACCATTTCAGATGAATGTGAAACAGAATGAAAAATAAATGTATTTATTGATAAACTGCTTGTGAAATAACAAATAAATACAATTTTTAAAGATCCTTGATTTGATTTGATAAGATTTGAATTTATTTATTTTTCCACTCAAATATCCATAAATTTAAATGAAATATATAAATTATACAGTATAACAATATATAATAGAACAAATAAATTACAGAAATAACGATATCTTTCAGATTCTTCAAAGTAATCGGGGTTAACAAACTTAATACATTTTTAAAACCATGTTTTCAAACAATAAAAAAAACAACCTTTTTTTAAAAAAAATATTTATTATCTTTTTTAATTTTTATTAATCTCTTCAAATAAAAGATGTAATCAAATATCTATGTATTCACCCACTCGCTGTCAGGTTAACATCTTTATGAAACAAATCTACATGTATTTATCCAACTGCTATTTTTGGAAAGATATATTAGCCTATGCATAATTATGTATTCACCGCTGTCACCAATTTAAATATTTTTCTTAGAAACCCAATGCTTTGTGAATTTATCCCGCTGCTGCAGAGTTCAAAACCATTACAAATGAATTAAGAAACATACATAATGTATTTATCCAACCGGTATTACCAATTTCATTTTTTTAATACATGTTTGTGTCTCTCAGCCCACCACTGCCAAGGCTACGCACAACTTCAGTACGAAAAAGATTTGTGTGTATGTGTAATAAATTATCAACCCTGCCACCAGATGAAACCAAAACTTTTAGCAAACCTACGCGTAACTATCCTACCGCTGCCACCAAAGTTAGTAACGATAGATGAATTCCTCAAATAAAAGCAAACAAACTTACCAATATTGCAAAGAGCAACCTGTGGTTCTTGTTTACAACCTGAGAACAGAAATACAACTCTGAATATGAGTATCAAATTTTCTTGATGTTCAATCAAAACCTGGAAAAGATTTACGTATCGTAAAATGCAAAACAACTTTCAAAATATACAAATTCGAACAATTATTGCAACCTATGGATCTAAACATATGCACGAAACGCACGAATATGTGAAAACATTAATTACATAGCACGCAAAATAATGATCCTAACTTTGAGTAAATTGAACAAAAATGAATGTGCTTTGGGGTGCTTTCCATTTTTAAAACTAATTGTTTTGTTTGATATAAAGAAAGACTTCAGTTTATTAATTTGTAAAATGTTTTGTTTGACTCAATAAAATAGCCTATGGGGGGCTAAAATATTGTTTTAAAAAAAACTAATTACCCTTGTTTTGTTTCAGATTATAAAAAAAGACATTTATTGTATTCCTTGCAATGAAATGGATCAATTTGCTATGTCAGGGTGCAATCACAAATTTACACCATAATAGTGAAGTACATACTTGGAAGTGCTGCAATCTGACTCCCTCTGTTCGAATCATCATTACTTTTTGGAAGGCTCCGGATAATGATGACGTAGTCCATGCTAGGCTGGGAAAAATTCCCATACTGACAACTCACCGTAAAATTAGACTGCAAGAAGAAAAAAAAATACACATAGATTACGTGTATATTGAAACATTCCCTCGTATCTTGTTTCATAATTTCCCCATAATTTTCATAATGTGCCCATGTGCTACAAATGGCATAATCTAACAACATATTTAGTTCGATCAAGACCAAAATAGTTTACTTCCAACTGTGCTAGTTTTTAAAAGATCAAATATGTATGTTTTAATGTATTTTTCCATTTGTATTACCTGCCATGAACGATGTTCCTGTCATGTTATGTCATGTATGTTTCTTTTTTAGTTTTGTTTGTATATGTATATGTTAATCTCTTAAATCTGTTCGGGGAACTATACCCCCATATAGGGCCCTTTTTTAGCCTCCCCTATTTTCATTTCTTATATATTGCAAATGATTATGTTATTGTATATATCTTTGTATTGTTTTTATTGAAAATAGAAATGAATACAAACGAATTGAATTGACTATACGGGTAGAATTGCCTTTCTTGCAAATTCAAATATCTGACGATAGAACAAACAACATGTTTTAGAAGATAAAATGCAAAGACTTACACGAGTGTCCTCGATGGTCAAGGTTTTGTTGAATGAGACTGTGAAACAGAAATATTGTGAAGCACAAATATTCCTGCTGCACATGACTTTAACTTCATATCCAGTCAAAAGGCTTATGCGATCTAGGAAAAAAAGAAATTGGAAATATATGTGTCAAGTTTTTAAAGGAAGGTTTTTGGTGAAGCATATATCAGATACAATTCTCGGTTTGTAATTTAGACTAGTCACTACCAATACTAGATTTAGCTGTATATTTCAGATCATGTATGGAGTTTGATTTCATCTTCTGAACAATATTATAAAGTCCTTGTACACGAGGATATGACACTCGTTTGGCTTTAGTTTCACTTCTAAATGTATTTTTCCTTGTGTACTTTGGAATATAAGTTCTAAATAGATAGTACCATATAAATGCCTATTCTTCTTCTTCTTCTTCTTCTTCTTCTTCTTCTTCATAATCATATTACTATTATTATTATCATTATTATTATCATTATTATTGTTCATTGTCATTATTATTATCATCATCATCAGCATCATCATCAATTTATTCTCATTATCACCTTGTGATGCACGCCACTGAGGAATGATCTTCAGGTAGACCTTTCCATCTGGTCCTATGACAGATGAAGAACCCATACCAACCTGGATGGGGCCACCTGGTGCCTGGTTTACAGGTACGGTGTCCCGATTCCAACAATCTACCAATCAAAATCAAACCAAAATGAATTTTTAAAAAAAAACAGGAAATCTGACAAAAAAGTTGTTTAGAAAGAAAAAGCAAAGGGTAGAGTGTAACGGACCTATAAAGAAAGCTCATCTTCTCTACTGAACAATCTCAAAAGGAGTTTCAATGATTGAACAAAATACGGAAACGTGTACAGTAACTCAATGATGATGGGGCACTCGGTTAAAGGGCAAGTCCACTCCAAAATAATTCATTTCCAATATAAGCAGAAAAATCAGACAAACCAATAAAAAAAAAGTTTGAGCAAAACTAATAAGAAAATGCTTAATGACATGAAAAACTTTGAAAATCACATGACAAATTGGCAACTCACTCATGAGTCTGTGACGTCATGTCCTCACTAACTACATATTTATCTATCATTTTCCTTATATTGATAACATAAGTTTTTAAGTTATTTTTGGAGTGGACTTGTACTTTGTGTCGGTTGTCGACAGCATTGCTCGGAATGTTTTCTTATGTTTACAATATGTTTGTAGGAAAAATACTTAATTTTAAAAGATTGAAGGCATTACCAGTTGGATGACAGCCAATGTAAGCAAACATTATAAGTATTATATCCTGAAAACTGTTTTATATACAGTGCGTCCCAGAAAAAACGAAACCGAGAATTATCGAAGATTTATCATAATTATAATCAATAAATGACACATATTTGAAGAGCTTAATTCCTTCTCTTCCATTTGATGCAACTACGATGGTGCATATTTCATGCATGAGTGATTAAAATCAATTTGAAGAGAGAGAACCAAAAATCCAAAGAGAGAATCACCAAAGAGAATGTTTAGTTTCTGCCCTTTCATATGACACCTCAATCAGGAAAAGTGAGCTAGGAATAACAAAGTTCTGTTTGTTTAAAGTAATGCTTGCATGTTCAAAATTTTATTAAACGAATTCGTTTCCACTAGCTGCCTGCCGTAGCAACAAACGGAATTTACAAAAGACTTAACTCCGTTTCGTTGACGATCAGCTATAGACTAAAGACTTCATGCATGGCTGATTGTCAACAAATTGGTGTTGAAAGAAAACAGAACTTTGCTATTTCTTGCTCATTTTTTCCTGATTGAGATGTCATATGAAAGGGCAGAAACTGAACTTTTTAGAAATGTGATATATTTTCTTCTTTGAAATTCAAATGCCGTCCGCCAGATGACTTTTGGTTCCCTCTCTTCAAATTGATTTTAATCACTCATGCGTGAAATATGTATCATATGAGTTGCATCAAATGAAAGAAGAGGATCTAAGCTTTACAAATATGTGTCATTTATTAATCATAATTGTGATTAAGTTATGTTAAAACATCGAAAAATCACATCGAAAAATCTCTGTTTCGTTTTTTCTGGGACGCAGTGTATACTCAAAAGAACTTCTACATGAATAATGATCTACCCACTTCTTCCTAACACTAATTAGTATCATGTTTGCTGTTGGCTGAAATCCAAAATTTTGTTCAGGAAATGTAGGTGTCATTTGAACAGTCATTACAGAAGAAACAAAATTCTGGTTTAACAGATGTCTGCTTATTGTATAGAACTTGATTTTTATCTGTCAGTAAGTTTAGAAATCTGGGTCTCAAATTCTGAGCGTAAAATTGACCATATAGTTACGTCAAAATAGATGTAATAAATTGGGTTCATCAGGGCGTTTTCGCAAAATACTTTTGTTTCTTCAAACGTGGCCATTATTTCTAAATATTCTCAATCAAGAAGATTGTTTTGATATACCTTTAACTCATTCTAAAAGTATTGACGTATCATTTTAGCATGGCCACCTGCATATTAAAGATTAAATTTAAATGAAGAGGGGGCGAGAGCGAGGGAAATATAATAGAGAGAGATTGAAAGAGAGGGAACAGGGATGTGAAAGAGGAAGAAAAAACATGGAAAGAAAAATAAAGCTGGAAAAGTAAAGAAAAGAGAAGGTGGCAGAACAAAAGAGATGGGAAAGGGATGGAAATGGTGATGAGACAAGTATGCCTATATAATGGTTTTTACAAACAGGATCGGTGAAACATTGAGAGACCAGAAATATATTTTGGTATTAAACTACTAAGCCCAGATTTTCATGACCTGGTACTTCTTTTCTTTTTAAAACACTGATAATTGATATTATTTACGATGTAGGACATTTCTAAAAGAAGTATTTTACGTGACTTACTTGGAATAATAACGCATGGTGGAAAAGGTGAACTTGAAACACGAGATGAATCCTGCAACAGAAAGACGGAATTTAAAATCAGAAAAGGCCATTCAGGACAACTTGACACCGCTCCCGAGAATGAATGAGATTTTGAATTGATAAATATAGTGATTATGAGTGTAGACATGGACATGAATGTATATAAAAACAAGAACCCTGATGAAATTCTAAGGTCTTCGAATCCATTTAAACACATTATAGTGGAGGTACCACATGGAACCAAAATTTCTGTCCATATATTATGACCACACTCTCGTTAAAACATCAGATTTTTTCTTCTCTTAATAGAACAGCTATTCAAAAATGTTGAAGCCCAAACTCGTCAATATGATTAGAATTCAAGTCACCTTTAATAACGCAAATTCAAACTGTCAAAAATATCTTCTCAAATATGAAAAGAAACTCTTCATTTTGAACAGATTTTCGGAAGTGTCCTTCGTATGAGTTTTCATATTAAAATGTGAATAGGTTCTATATTCATTGTTTGATAAATACTTTTGAGAGTGTAAGTCCCAGCTATTTGGTCATGAGGTGTCCTATATAGGCCTACTATAGGATACCGAATATCATGATATTATGAATATAATTTTATTCTTTGACAACAGATCGAGTATCATTTTATTCAATTTGATCGATCAAATCTCTGGTAGGCCTTGCAAGTTAATACAATCACCAAAATATACTAAAATCTGTAAAGTTTGGGACACAATAGGTTTGACTTGGCTCTGCAGCTGTACAAACATTTTTGCCAAACAGGAAAACCATCGTTGAGATCAATATGGACCCTTTACTCTACTTGAACGTGGTTTCCCACGAGCTCGACGTGTACATGCATGGAGCTTTAATTGTCATACATTTGACATACATTTCAAAAGAAACACTTCCTGGTTTGAATTTTTTTAAACCCATAGTACATCCTAAAATTTGACTGGGAATGTTTCCCGTCTAACTTCGAGAATTTAAAGGAAGCGTGGCAAAAGTCTGTTGGTAAATTAATCACCCAAATTTAAGAAATATTGCTCCCTTTTGTTGTTTTGTCTTCTAGGTAGGAACTAGTACACATTTTTCTTTGTGACAAAAAAGCAATATCACACTATTTGCAGCGTAAGTGAAAGTCAGAATTAAAAGCTAACGTATTGTCATTAAAATAATATTAATACGAAACTAGCTCAACCATTTTCGCGCTTCAAGTTCATAAAAACACTCCACACACTACGTTTGTAGGACCGATATACACACTGTATAGTCTCATGTTTCAGGAAGTACATATTTGAATATAAGTATTTCCACTTGATCTAACATATAACATGCTACAGGTGAAATTGAATCTATTCCTTTTATTTTGGTTCAAGTTTTAAGTTATAAGCAATTAAAGGGTGAATATGCACAACTACCAAACATTAAGATAAAAATGTTGATGCTTAAATTTTCTCATTAAATACGTATAATATATGGGCATATTTGGAGCATTTTATAGACATTGCATTCAAAATAATGATGTGATAAAGACTATTTGTATTTGTACATATCTGGCTTTGATACATGATAATTAATGATATCATATTTATATCCTGGCCTGGTTATAGTATCGTTATAATCATCAATCTGAACGAAGGTTCTAACAGTTTACTTTTTAATTAAAATAATATATTCTTAATACCAACAAATAATAATCTAGGCATACATACACATAACAAATCTAGGCATACATATACATACATACAAATAAGGGGACCTGGAAAAGTGATCTATATTCTTATTGGCAAAAAATGTAAATCGTTACTTTTTTGTATGACGGTTAGGAACAGAACTGAAGTAATAAAAACCCATATTTGAACTTGTGAAAAGTCCATTATACATATATCAAAAGAAATAACGGTTTATTCACTGTTTCTGTATAGCTGCAGATAGTAAGACATTAGAACTTTTGTGAGCTGTCATGTCATATGTCCCTTCTACAAAAAAGATTTATTAAATAGGTTACCTTTTGCAAAGTTAAAAAGTGAATGACTGAATTAGCAAATGCTTTAAACATACTTTTGAAAAGTGAAAGCTCATATATATCAAAGCTTCTCAACCGATGATAAATACAACTCTTCCGTATGATTTTTCAATTCATCTACTCCAGTTTTGTTTATTGTTCTTTCAATGATAACAACGCCAACCAAAAGAACAACAACAATATATATAATGATGATGACGATGATGGTGACAATAATAGTAACAATAACGATAACAATAACAATAATAATAATAGTAATTGTAATGATAGTAATGATAACGAAAGTGATAATATGAATACTAGTATTGATAATCACAATAATATTAAACAATAGACATAACAAATGATAATGAAATCATGCAATTATTACCATGATCTTTTAGCAAAATTAACCTTATAAACAACATTAACAATATTTCACATTCACACGGTATCTTTGCTGACGAAAATATATTACATTATAATTCCTATATTGTATTGTTCATACATAATCCTTAATATACATGTATTCTTGCACCTGTAACCATCATCCAGGCCAGATGTGAACCATTAATGTCTGCAGGATAACTTCATAGGCTACTCCCTTGACATTGACAGAAATTAAATTCAATCTTACGAAATTGCACTACCATACCTCTTCATATTATAGTCCCTGTTCAGTGAAGACAAACAATGCCAAAAGACAGACTTTCTAAACTCACCGTTTGCTGACAGGGACTCGTACAAGTCAATGGCAAGCCACCCGATCCTCCAGATGTACACCAAGAAACAAAGACCGTAATTATAACCGCCCAAAGTGGATGATAAATTGGAATAATTTGTGGCATCTTTGCAAATATTATGTTCGCCTCTCAAATAGAAAAAAAAATTGACACAGCAGTTATCTTACACCAGCGCTTGGCCTAACTCCTCATCGCTCAGTGTTGCTCACGAGCTGACTCTATATTGGTTGTGCGGTCTCATCCTGGTCTAGTTGAGAAACCAGATCAGAACGGCATTATGGTTTCCAAGAATAACACTCTTTATACAACACCTAAGTGGATCCTTGTCATTTGATTGGAGGATTGTTGGTCACATGATATTCAATAGATCCATTGGGTCAGGAAAGAAAATCATTAAGGTAGCATATACTAGTACCCTTTAAAATACATGTATACGCTAATCATGACATTGTAAAAAAAAAACAATTTTTCAACGACATTTCCAACAACTTAGATTTTGATTTTATTCTAAACAAATTGGATATCAATTATATTGGTTAATGACATCCAATTGATCACAACACGCTCATGCTTTAGTATACAATGAATGGTTATGAGTTCAATAGTGCGAATATTTTCATGAGTTGAAAGATTAACATTCTATTCAACGAGGCGTCAGCCGAGTTGAATAGAATTTATGTTAATCTTTCAACGAATGAAAATATTTGCACAATTGAACGAATGAAAAACATTCATTATTTGTTTTATACAACATCGAAGAAGATCTAATACAACGTTAATCAACAAATGATGCTTTACTCCTTATATTAAAGGTAGTAGGCCTATGTCCCTTTTGCAGCCAACCTCAAATTCTGTAAAACTTTGCAGGAATTATGAAAATGTCATGTATGTCCTATCTGTGAAATTTAAACGTTAGCAGTATCCTCATATTCAAATTATGCAAGGAAACCCGAAAAAAAAAAACGGCGCGATTTTTGGAAAATCCTGAATCCGCCACTGGGTCAAACCCCCCCCCCCCCCCCCCCCCCCCTCTCGGCAAAAAGCTAGATTCGCCCCTGGGATTTCCTCAATTCAACTGAGAGCTAGCTCGGCTTACTTAACGACCACTTTAGCTCATTACAGATGGGGAGACTACTTCTACAATAGAATCAAGGCCCACAGTCCTAATTGCAGCTCATAATTGAATTACTAAAACGAAGAATATGATTAACATGTAATATGATCATGATTATGACCGACTTAATTATACTAGGAGTAATTGGAGTCGAATAGCATGCGGAGAAAAATGTAATTGAAATAAAAAGAGACTAAGATAGATAAAGGGAAAGGCAAAACGAAAGTATGATTATAATCGATCCTTTCCACACATTTGCCTCTTTCGATGACCTTGTTATTCGCATTCATATTTTGATATCACTTCCCTCTCAATCACTGACGTACTGAAGGGCAGGCATGTAGCCAGAGTTTGATGTGGGGGGGGGGGGGGGGCACATACATGTAATCGATCGAGGTAAAAAAAAAGGGGTCTAAAAAATTTCAACCGATCTCTTCCCCCCCCCCCCCCCCCCCCCGTGGCTACGTGCCTGCTGAAGGGAGGGGGAGGGGGCAGTTGCCCCCAAATAAAATTCAGAGGTGGTTTATTTCTTATTCGATACCAGTGATTTACAAAAGTTTCTGAAATTACATGGTTTTCCGGGGTTTACCCTACATGGGCGAAACACAGGTGGCAGCATCACCAAACACTAAATATGTGTAGAATGTACTAAGACACACCTCCATACAATATTAGAAAGAAATCCGTCATATTAAGAAATGTGGCAGTTAGAGCGCATAAAAGACATATGACCTTTGACCATATAAAAGACGGAACAATGAGGGCAGCATCGCCCAAAAGTGTAGATCAGTTGTAGATTGTACCAAGATACATCTCTTTTCGAAATTTGAAAGAAATCTGTCATGAAATATGACCTGCAGAGCGCACATTAGACACCCACCAAAATATGACCTTTGACCCTATAAAACACAGGACACTCGAAGCAGCATCACCAAAAACTAAAGGTGCGTAGATTTTACCAACATTCATTTCCATACTCAATTTGAAAGAAATCTGTTAAGAAATGATGCAGTTATACCACACACTAAAGTGCACACAAGATATCTATCAGAATATGACCTTTGACCCTATAAGGATAGAGCACTAGAGGCAGCATCATCAAAATCTACAGGCTTATAGATTATACCAAGATACACCTTTGTTCAAAATTTGAACGACATCCCTTGAGAAAGTGGCCTATAGAGCGCACCGTCCAAACCATCGACAAAATATGACCTTTTACCCTATAGAAGACGGAACACTGGGGGCAGCATCACTAAAAGTTGTAGGTGTCGAGATTATACCACGATACACCTCCATTCGAAATATGCGGAAAGAAATCCGTCAAGCAATGTGGCAGTTAGAGCGCACACAAGAATATGACGCGGAGAGATGTCCTTGCTTTGAGGGGTCATCAGAGCGAACAAATGAAAAGTCAAAGGCTATCAACTATGCACGTAGTGATAAATACAATTAATAAATCAAATTTCTGAAGGATAAACGAGCCTTAAAACCTGACCTTACTCTTTTCCTTATGATTGTTCTCTCATGCAGTTATTATTATTAATGAATAGCATTGACCATTGAAACAAAATAGTGACCCACAATGCTTGTTACACTATAGTGCTCCCTTTTGGAATACAATTGGCTGTGTTGGACTTTTTATAAAAATGAAAATAAAAAGAAATTAGCTCTATATATCTGTCACACCCTTCACACACTGTGCACAACTCAGTCTTTCAACCTTGGCGGTATCAAGTTCAGTTCTCACTCAAAGAATTCTGAATTGCTGTGAAACTTCCGTCATCATTCATTAGGCAAGATGCAGCGTGTTCTTGTAATATTGATCATTTCTATGATTCTTGTGGCTGGTGTTCTAGAAGGAGCAGGTAAGATTTTAGTTGTTCATAACATTTATAATTATTGTTATTTAGTACAGTCATCAAATCCACTGAGAATTACCAAAATCTTGGACTTATAATGTAATCTTCAATTTACACATTATAAGTCTTTAGACAGGAGTTTCTTTGCATTCTTATGCTTTAATATGAGTATCCTTGCAACAAAAATAAAACCAAAAGGTTTCAATCAGTATTTTCATTAGGGTCCAGACCTCAAGCCCGAGACTTGAAACCATAAAGCCAAGGCATTAATGAACAAGCATGGGGATGATGGAACATACAAAGAAGGATTCTCACACACATATTCGTAATTCTTTAATCAGTTACGTCATACTTCTATTGGCTAGTTTGATATCTACCAATGATTGTTATTATACAGCCCTTCATATGCACCATAAAATAAATCTAAAAACAGCAGCACCAAGGTATATTAGTAAAGGCTCTCTCGGCTCTCTCGACTCTCAGACAAGAGGACCCTTGGTTTAATTCTTGCTCGGTTTCTTACATCCCATGACAAGATGTTTTGCCCACCTACAAATGGGTACATGGCTGTCAATGATGGGATAATAATAGGGACTTTTAGATTCTGCACGACGAGAACGTGGACTGCCCTTTTAAGGCAATGTGACGTCACTGCCAGTGCCCTAAAAGGACGTCACATTGCCTTAAAAGGGCAGTCCACGTTTTCGTCGTGCAGAATATAAAAGTCCTATAATAATAGGAAGGTGGAACAGTATTAATAATGTGGCTACCCTGGGTAAATAAGTCCAATTTTTATTGATTCTTCATGATTTTTATAATCTCTTTACTTGTTTGGTGCTTCACTTTCTAGAAGGGGGAAAGTTTATCGCAATGCGTCGTCGTCGTATATCAGGAGGCATTGTGAGAAAAACCAGAGACGTTGCTAGGGTAAGATCACATTTACTCATTTATCTCAATGTCAGCCGTGTACAATGTAGCTACAAGGGGAGCAAGGGGAAGGGGCACATCCCTCCCAATATGCCATTTTCGTAATGTAACCAAATTTAATGCATACGTCTTTGTGCAGTGCCTCAATACAAATTATTTCATTCACCTGATAAGAATAATAGTATTTCAATAGACATAATTCGAACTGCATACATTAGTTATTGCCAGGTAGGACAAGCATTATTGCTTGAATTCGGTTACATTACGAAAGTGGCCTATTGAGTAGTGACAAATTAAAAAAAAATCAAGATAAAACGGGGAAAAGGGGGGGGGGGGCAAGGGAAAAGCAAAGGATGAAAAAAGAAGATACCTAGACCCGCACACTCTCTCTAATCAGTAACGTCATAAATGTATATTTCAATTTCCATGTGGGACGGCGATGCACCCTTCCCCCCCCCCCCACCCCAACCATCCCCTCCATCGTTGCAGGGCCCCCTTAATGGTTGGACTCTTGCTACGCCGCTGTGCAATGTATTCATTTTATTAACACCATCTTTAATATTTTTAAAAAACCTGAAAATTAGTGCACCTCCATTTCCTATGTATATTTTACAAGGTGACCATTTACGAAAACTGAAAATTAATACAGCTGCGTTTCCTACTAAAAAATGTATATGCATGTTGTAATTTCCAATGTTAACACTTTACACCGAAAAAGTAATAATTGAGGAAGCTGCATTTCTTATACATGTATAGATTTCACAAGGTGCCGAATATAAATAATTATTAAAAAAATAAAAAAATAATGCATACTATATTTCCAAGGTTAATCTAACTTTTTTCCTTATAAGTTTTGTATCTTTGAATAGATTAATGAATTTTAGATTAAAAACAAAACAAAACCCTAAGATATATGAGGGTAGAATTGATGTCATCTCTCTATACAGCAATCCGTATTTCTTTAATTAATGTATTTTACATTCTACATTACTCACCTCTTTATGTTTTAATGTTGATGTTTGTTACTGATGTAGATTTTCATTGTTCTTTTATGCTTATGTATCTGTTTTTCATTTGCTCTGTGTCAAATGTATAAAATGTATTTCTTACCTTGTATATTCTTCTGGTTTTTAATGTGGAAAATAAATGAAATGAATGAAATAAACTTGACGGCCCTCTGACGCCTTCAGTCGATTTAATTATTCAAAACTTGATTGACGATACCCTGTTGAACTGAGGATTCTATTTCATATTGTCTTTGTGCTCGTTATAGGGTGCCTAAGCGAAATGTAATGGCATTAAAAGACGTGTGAGCACAAAAGGCGAAATAGTTGGTGATGTTTGTGAATTAGGAATTCATTTTTGATATACCTGAATGAAATATGTATATTTACCAGCTCCATATCCTAAAGATGTGCTTCTACCTCTTTGTGATAAAATTCTGATTTTGAAAAATCCTGCATTTTGAAAAATCCTGCATTTTGCGTTCTGGATGCATGTTTATGTCCCACTACACGTGACACCGAATTTAAAACCTATATTCTTTGATTTCTGTTAGGAAATGTCATCCCTGAAAGTGAAGAAGGAAGAGAACAACCAGCTCACGGAGGAGGCTTTGGGTGAAAAATAAAGGCCACGCCATCAGACGACCTGGGTGTAGCTTTCAAAATAGTAACAATAATAATAACAATGACTTCTATATAGCGAAAGTATTAGCCTTCTATAGCATTCACTTGGCCAGCTCAAAGATACGTGTATAATTCATAATCTGAAAAAATCTTTAGATGAACTGCTCGTGGTATATACCATTAAAACAATATGGATCTGCCCCAGAGTACAATATTAATTTGTTGATGCCTTATAATCCTCCCAGACGCTTAAGATCATCCGATTCTCAATTGCTTGTTGTTCCGAAAACTAAGAAATCATGGGGGGGGGGGGGGGGGGATCGGTCATTTGCATACGCTGGACCTCACGTATGGAATCAATTGCCACAACATATTTGTTATATTTCAAGTGTAGATTGCTTTAAACATGCCCTCAAAACTCATTTGTTCAAAGCGACTTTCCCAGAAGATTTAGATTTACTTTCACATTGTCGTTGTTCATTTTTGTGTGTATTTTGTGTACTTATAGTTTTTCTTCTTCATGCGCCACATTAGTCATGTGGAATTGGCGCATTACAAATACTCTATATTTATATTTTATTTTATTTTATTTAATATTGAATAGTTCAAGAAGGAAGTTTGCAGTGTTCAGTTAACAAATTAACCATGTTAATCATGGATCACATTTACCGTGTTAAATCGCGTAACAATTTGTATCTCCTTATAATATGATGGTTTAGTATTTTAAAGTATTGGTTAATGCATTTAAAAAAAAAATTGTATAATTCAGCTTAGGCCGTGAGACAGATTTTATCAACAATTACAATTATGATACCATTGAATACATATTCATTCATTTGATTTGCAAACATTGCAACAGCTTTAACTATTAAAAAATATTTAAAAAAACTTTTTTGCCATCTCTCATGTAACTGGTCCTGAACCCAATCCTCTATCTCCGATACGCTGTAACGGTTCGGAATTTCAAAAGAATAATGAGGCTTTTTACGACTCACATTCGAAGAGGAAGACCACAGGAAATATTTTTTCTTTGACATGTTAAGGCTTAAATGAACAAGAAATTACGTATCTGAGGAAAAACAAAACCTACTTTAGATGTAACTTGATCAGATATGAGTTAATGCTTGTGAAGCAAACAAATTAAAAACATATAATTCAAAACTTGTCTTTAGACACATTAATTCAAAATTGCTTTTGTTGATTCACTTACTCTGGTAACATTGATGTACATGTCTATTTCATAATTATTTATTGTAATTTGTAGGTTTATTTGTAAGTTTTGTTTTGTTTAGTGTGTAATTGTTTATCGTTGTAATTTGTTTGTTATAGCGCTTAGATAAATCGTTGGTAAGCGCTTTATAAGCACCATCGTTAATATTATTATTAAACTGAATTTATTCTGAAAATAAGAAATCAAAAATGATAAAAAAAAAACTCACCTCATCTTTGTGTTTTCATATCTTGTCTATTTCCTTGCATCAAATGTACCATCGAGCTCCAAGTGTGCTGCTAGCATGTTTTGAAACTATGTGTTAAGAATGGATTAACAAGACTTGTTTGAGTACAGATGAATGAAGTCAGTTTGATCCTGTTAGACACAGGGTGACAGGGATTAGTAAAACATTGCATCTACTTGGCTCTATGTCATTCTATACTATGCATTAAGCATACGATCCAAACAGCTTTATTTATTTCATCTTTATTGCAGAAACCATGATGTTTACAAAATATAGAGAGAGAGAGAGAGAGAGAGAGAGGGGGGGAGAGAGAAAGAGAGAGAGAGAGAGAGAGAAGAGAGAGAGAGAGAGAGAGAGAGAGAGAAGAAGAGAGAGAGAGAGAGAGAGAGGGATGAGAAATTACAAAAATATTTATTATTATTTTTTATTTGGCATTTCAAACATACAATAGAATTAAGGTACAATAGAATGGCACATAGGATACAAAGTATGAAAGAATAAAATTGGCTTCCCCTGCATGCTGCACCTCTCGAAGTTGCCAGGAAGAAAAAAGGGAATGTGAAATTCCTATAACCCCTAAATCTTCTGTGTGCCCATGCCTTGAGCCATAATGCATGGCCGTACAGAGGATTTTTTTATGTTGGGGACCGGGATAAATGCAATGAATTATTGATAACTTACTGTATTTTTTTATATCTTTTTTTTATTTGTGGGAATTACTGCCCCCTACCCCTAGCCCCCACTGCGTACAGTCATGGTTCAGTGACAAAGCAATGGCCTCGTAACTATATTAGTGCTCTTTGTGGGGCATTAATCCTCATTACTGTCATTTATGACTTAATTACTATTGGCGTAGGTCCCCTATAGTTGATAAGTAGCGCGCATACACATGCGTTAGCAGTCACGCAAAAGAAACACTGGCAAATTATTATTCAATAAAATCTGAGAATATATACTATTAACTACATCTATTAGGAATAAATCATTGTCAAAATAATTCCATAAATTGGGGTTAAAAAATTAAAAAAAATCCAACTTTATGAGCAACAGTATAACAGTTATTTATTCCATTATATGTCAAATTGTTTGGGTGCAATACATGATATACCCTCCATCAGCACAATTCATTTTTCATAGGGGTCTGGCACTGCCACTGACATTTTACACAAAAAAGAATATATATAGGCCTATGTTTATGGGCAATAGTAAAAAAAAAAAAAAAAACACTAATTGATACACGTCTGTAAAAAATATAAAAAAAACATCCTAAACATCCATAAAGGACCATAGCAATCGGGGCCCGTTCCTAGAAACCGTCATTAATTAGTCTAACTTCTTGACTATCCCATCGAAACATCTATAACACAGCCTAATTGTACAGAATAAACCGGGAACAAATCGGAGCGAGCTGATTTTTTGGCTTGTCATAATGCGCAACTTCCTAGGCTACGTGTATTTAAAGTAAAGCCTCAGAAATGAATACCACCACAAAATTGCTTCAAATTGACTAGCCGTGGTACGTAATTTTTGAATATTTATTTTTAAAATATATATATATTTATATACACACTGTAAACACAGTTTTTGAAAAATAATAATGTCTTGTTGTGCTTTTTAAAGTTATGATGAAAAGAGCAGCTGTTTAGATGTGTAGTCCCGTATGCTATCCTTTGTGTAATGTTTCTACCGAAAAGACTGAACTGCTAGTCTATGGCTATGGCTGTTCTGGTTCTGGTTCTGGATTTTAGTCCGACAAAGCGGTATCCCGCATCGCTATGGGTTAAAAGACATGAATTACCTATGGTGACGCCCAGTCAGTCTAAAGACGTGTAGACTAGAGGGTACATATGGAACTCTAAAGCACATAATAGGGAGGCCAATGCCCGGGCGTAAGGCTTCTACACCTACGATTTGTGCGCTCGTCGCCCACTTCAAAAAATTAGCAAAGGGAAAAAAATGATGTAAAAATAAAAATTGAAGAAAATATGAAAAGAAAATACAATTATACATTTCACAACATACCTATAATCACGGATCTGTAACAGTCTTTCACCATTTGTTGACAATCTTGCAGATTTTGACGTTTTTTAATCCAATAATTGTGGTTGCAGACGACCTTGACGCACTCGCACCACCGACTAAGAAAATCCTAGAGGGCGTAGAGGTTTGCTCACTAAAAACCTTCTCATTGGCAGAAGGTAGACCCTAAAAATATGGGATCCGTTTTGAGTAAAGAACTTTTGATAGAGATCAACATTTCAGATGTTCACAATTGCCACTTCTAACAACTAGAAAATATAAAGAAAAAAGATTATATCTTTTTAAATACAGATTTTTACAAACTGAACATTCGAAAGTAGATAGAGTACGATGTTTCTGTCAATCTTGCGTTGGTTTGAGCCCTATAGCTACATCCATCTCAAAATGAGAAGGAAAACAGTGAACAGTGACGTCATTGTTCGCGCCAAAAATAAAGGGTATTGCGACATAATCTGAGCTCCGGTCAGAGCGTGCCCAAAGCGTAGTCTTATTTATAGACCCTAGTACCTTATTCTCACAGCACTAGATACGAGTGTCGTGCAGTAATGTATGAGAAGTGTTAAAAAAGATATTTCAGTAAAAAAAAAAGTCTACGTGAGCAGTCTATACTCCAATTGAGAATTGAAATGAAAGCCATGATTTGAAGGTGTGTGTTGTATATGATACATGGTTAGTGAGTGTGTATGTTACGTATAGCGAAAGGGAGAGAGAGAGAGAGAGAGAGTGAGAGAAATATTAGTACACGTACGTTGCATGCATGGATGTGCGCTATGATTGTGTTCGCTGCAAGATGGATTTTAATTGGACCTCGTAACTTCTCGATCGTTGATAATAAGGAATACTCATGAGGAAATCAAATTATTGGAATACACATCTAAGGTAAATATCAATGAATTATATATATTTCTTTCCTTTTTTGAACCATCGTCTTCGGCTCGTAGTAGTAGAAGATGTAATCGTTCGCACATTGATGGCTGGACTTCAGCCTGCATCGGGGCTTGCCTGTGTCGGTGGAGGGATCAACTAAGAAGAAGAAGGTGTGTACGTGTGCGACCGATTCAAGGCTAGCCGCTGTTGAGTGATTGCACTTTCGCGCGAAGTTTTAAACTTCATCATGAACTTTGTCCCTCGGGCCTGTCTAATTATGAACGTAACTTTGCGACATGAAATATAATTGTTTCAAGGCTCTTACGTACGGAAAGGGGTAGAAGGAAATGGCTACAAACCAGCTGGATATCTCCTATTTGATGGAACCTATGGAGTCGGCAGATGGGTGGATTTTCTTAGTGAAAGTAAATGCTTTCTTTTAATCTTAGTTTTAGTATAAACAAATTAGTAATTAAAAAGTTAGATTTGGGCATTGGCCTCCCTACACATAAAATCACTCCTCACACAGGGTCAAAATTTAGTTCAAACAATTGTCATGAGAGACACCATACCACAATATCCTCGTTTAGTTGCTGAAAAGGCTTTTGACGAGTACCAGCATAGACGTTGACGTGTCACTTGGGTTCAAACTGTAGTAAAAAATGTAATAATGTAATCGTCTTCGTCTTCTTCTTGTTCTCCCTATGCTTTTGTCGGAGATCAGCAACAGGGTGTTGCAAGTATATCATTAATCATTGATTTAATGACATTAATGTAACCTGTTTTTTCTTGATTTTTTCTTTCCATTTTCAGAGTCCTGTCGAAGAGTACATAAACAGTAGACTATTGCATGACCAGACAAGAAGTGAAGATGAAAAGAGGGAAGGATAGAAGAGGGGATAATACGCAAGAGGTTGATAACAGACCAACCCATATGAAAGAGGATACAGACATTCCAACTGATCGAAAAGGACAGGATTCTGAACACGATAAAAACCATGCGGGATGTAGTAACCTTGGACGGGATCGAAACAGTATCTTACTGCTTCTGCTGCTTTATGTCCTGCAAGGGATACCTCTTGGTCTTGCTGGGAGCATCCCGCTCCTCCTGCAGAGCCGCAACATCAGCTACAAGCAACAGGCCATCTTTAGCTTCGTCTACTGGCCATTCAGCATCAAACTCCTTTGGGCGCCCATCGTCGATTCTGTGTTTGTGTCGCGGATCGGCAGACGCAAGTCATGGCTGATTCCGTGTCAGTACCTGATTGGCCTCTTTATGATGATACTGTCAGGTCAGGTCACGAGTCTCCTGGGTGACGACGGGCAAGATCCGAACATCCTCTTGCTGACTGGCCTCTTCTTCATGCTCAACTTCCTGGCAGCGACGCAGGACATCGCTGTGGATGGCTGGGCCCTCACCATGTTATCTAAGAGTAATGTAGGATATGCATCAACATGCAATACCGTTGGTCAGACGGCAGGCTTCTTTATTGGAAATGTTATCTTCATTGCACTAGAGTCGGCTCATTTCTGTAATACTTATTTACGATGGGAGCCTCAAGAGCAGGGAATTGTAACGTTAAAAGGTTGGTTTCTTTCACCTCTTTATTAAATATGGTTTCATTTTTCTTATGCATGTCTAATATCCTCATTTTATACCCACCTTTAATATATGTCAGGATGGATAGCTTAGATTTTTACATTCAGTCATGATATCATATGAAAAACTTTGAAAAAGTCCATTCTCGCAAAATGCGTATGTCACTAATCCAAAATACACTCAATTAAGAAGCATCCAAAAACTTGTTAGTGCATAGAGTTACAAATAGTGAACAATTGAATTGGTAGACTATTGATGCTATTGATTATCAGTAAATGATGCTGGTTTAGTCGTACAACTTCAAAGCATTTGATGCATTTGGATTCCGGACTAAAAAATTTGTAAAATACCTCCAAGATGTTACTCAAATTATGTAATTAGATGTATTATGATCTGAATAATGAATATAAAGGATTTCCCGTCAATTTAACACACTTTACATTCAAAGAATCTATGTGCACTTAAATTTTGTCCTAGGAATCCGAGATTATGTCAATGTCAAAGTTAATTTAGTCATTTTTCATTCAAGTTTGATAGATAAACGTCAATCGATTTTCAACACTATTCCATTAATTTTCATCGGATGTCATTTGAATTTGTCTCACCTGGTGGTCCTCTGCAGAATAATCAAATTCGTCTGTGCGTAATAAATTTCAAGAGAGTTTCATTTAAATACATCGCAAAGACAAGACCTTTTAAAATGAACGAGTGACAAATATGAATGACACATGTAATTGTACGTTGGCAGCCGAGAATGATTACCTGAATTTAACTTTGATGTAATTGAAAGCGAAACTATAAATTGATTGGACAAATATTGAAAATAAATGACTAAAGAAAAAATTGACTTTGGGATGTGTAAGATTGGGAAGGTTTGGGAAAAAATTGAATGAAAAAAGTATGAACTAAATGAAACAGTGTTAAAATAGACAGGAATTACCTGTATTAATCTCATTCCCAAGATTACATAGATATTTGGAGAAATATTTTCTAATTATTTTCAGATATTACTTTTCATTCATATTATATAATATACTTATTTAATGATATTTTTTTGTTTGTCTACAGATCTGTGATTTTGTAAGCAAAGTACTAGTAGTAATTTTTGTTTCTAGCATCCCTAAATATTCAATCTTATCATTATTTAAATATTAATCTTTCTTTTTCTTTCTTCTTTTTGTCTAGAATTTTTATTCTTTTGGGGCATCGTCTTCTTCATCACAACCACCATCATTGGCTTGTTGAAGCATGAGGAGGATAGCCATGGCGACCATGAGATGGGTGTGGTCTCAGCGTATAAACAATTCTCCCAAATCTTGCGCCTTCCCATTATCAAGAAATTTCTTGTCATCGTCATCACTTCTAAGGTAAAGAATACATACCTTTTTTTTCTCTTCTGAGCATCGTAATGTTGCCATATAAACTCCTCAAAAATGTTCTGCCAGTCTAGTTAGAGCATTGTAACTAAAATTATCATACTTGAGGGTGGTATCATTAGAAAGCCTGTTTATTTTCCATTACAATGCTGCCCAGTTTTTGATGATCATTTAATCATGGAATGTGCGGTACATCTGAATATGGTCAAAAGTCAAAGATAAAATGTTGCAAAATGCATTGTTAACAGTGAATTCTTTATTTGTGTTTTGAGGATGTGTGTGTTTGGAATGATGTTTAGGTGGTCACTCAACTCTCTATTCCTCCCGCTCTATCCCTGTCTGTCTGCGTGTGTGTGTGTGTGTGTGTGTGTGTGTCTCTCTCTCTCTCTTATATCTCTCTCTCTCCCTTTCTCTCTTCTCTCTCTCTCCCCTCCCTCTCTTCTCTCTCTCGTCTCTCTCTCTCTGTATCTCTCTCTCTCCCCCCCTCTCTCTCTCTCCTCTCTCTCTCTCTCCCTCTCTCTGTATCTCTCTCTCTCCCTCTCTCTCTCTCTCTCCCTCTCCCTCTCTCTCTCTTTCTCACTCTCTCTCTCTCTCTCTCTCTCTCTCTTCTATCTCTCTCTCTCTCTCTCTCTTCTGTCGCTCTCTTTCTGTCTTCTCTCTCTCACTTTTCTCTCTCTCTCTCTCTCCCCCTCTCTCTCTCTCTCAATCTGCCCTAATTTTTTTCTCCTCACTCAGATGGGTTATGCAGCAGCTGATGCCATCACGGGTCTGAAGCTGATTGAGGCCGGGGTACCGCGGGAGGACATGGCCCTCCTTGCTGTCCCCCTAGTACCCCTCCAGATCATCCTTCCTTGGGTCATCAGCAAGTATACAGCCGGGTCAAGACCACTCAATATCTACCTCCAAGCTATGCCATGGAGGTGAGTTTCCACAGTGTTTTCACTATATTCAATGCATTCCAGAAAAAACAAAACCAAGAATTATTGATGTTTTATCATAACTTAATCACAATTATAATTAATAAATGACACATATTTGTAAAGCTTAGATCCTCCTCTTCATTTGATGCAACTCATATGATGCATATGTCGGGCAAATGGTGTCATTTATTGATTATAATTGTGATTATGTTATGATAAAATGTTGATAATTTTCTTCTTTTTTTTCTTTCTGGGACACACTGTAATATTCATATATATTGTGGCATATCCAGGGGTCTGTCAAATGAGGGGGTGGCATTATTCCTGGCATTTGCTGAAAAGCAAAGGATAAAAGATGAAAGAAATGTCATCGGGTTTTTCCGTTTCTTTTTTTCTCGTGAATAAGCCACTTCAGAGATGGTACATGCACAAATGACCCCAACATTTTAGAATGATAGCTGCCAAAGTGATGGAGGCGCTGCATGAATACCTTTTGTTTGCTCTCTTGGAAAGAATACTTCCACCTGTTTATTGTCTGTGCATAATTGAGTAATGATTAAGTAATTTTCATGAACACATTTCCAGCATTCGTGTTGATATGCGCAGATAGTGTCCCAGAAGTGGCTTATTCTTTTACAAGCAAGAAACTCAAGTGTTGAAGAGAAGGTTGAGTTCTGGAAAGAGGTGAAAAATAATCTATGAGCATTATCATTGTATGCAAGTGTGGAAGAACATCAGATAAAACATGTTTCCTGAAAAGCATGGCTCTTCAAATGCCTTAATATTTAAAAAATGGCATGTGTTACATCATACAAGTCGGGACAGACTTTTATGCAACACGTTTGTGTAGCCCCATATACATCTTACTGTGTACAGTGCTTGTAACTTTACCAAGACTGGGCCGAATTTCTTATCATTTTGATGACTCCAGAACCTTTAACAGTACACATCAATACTTGTATGCTACATGATCATACTGATTGATTCCACACGGTTTCTTTCACAATGCAAGTAATCTTTAAAGGGGAGGGGCACTGGTTGTAATTTAATGTAATCAACATTATTTTTTTCTGTTTCACTCTTTGCAGGTTGATTATGGGCATTGAATTTGCAGTGGTAGTTTGGGTGACACCATCTTTCAGACTTGCGGATGGATCTTTCCCGACCTCTTATCTTGTGTTGCTTTTATTCAGCTATGCTGTACATCAGGTATGTATTCACTTATTGGGCTTAGGTAGAGTATATGAAGGAGACCGTTGTCAAATCTCAATCACAAGGCTTACCTGTTCAAAGTCATTTTGCTGTTATTCATGTGCCTGTTTCTCAAAACCGTCATAAGTCTAACTTCTTGGACATCCTATTGAAACGTGCGTTATAGAATTAACTAGTACATCACGGATAGTGCTATGGACGGTCGGATACCGGACGGTTAAACATTTGACCACAGCACTAGAATTAACGCACATTTCTATGGAATGTTTACGAAATTAGACTTATGACAATTTCGAGAAACTAGCCCCTGACTACTATCTCCTTGATTACTGCTAATACTGCTACTTCTAATTGTATAAATTATACCCAGTTCTTCTCACCCAAAATGCTGATTTGACTGTAGATTAGACCATGTATCATGGATGATAGACAAAATGGGCTTTGGCAAAATGATGGTTTGGTAGTGTAAAAGCTGGATTCAGTTATGAAGTGCACTGTGTACTAATATCGGATGGTTTCAAGAGCTAAAGCTAGGGTAATCATTTCCATGGCTCTCTGGAAGCGCAAAGGGACGTTATATATCAAAATGTGTAATGCACTATACAAGAACGGATTATTATCATTATCTGTTCAGATCCAGAATGTGTTAAAGCGGGACTGCATTACTTGCGCCCTCTATTCAGCCAACAATGCCTAAGCGGTAACTGTTGATCCTCCATGGTCCCCTTTTTCATATGTTAATTGAGAGCTGATTTGATTAGATACCCACCTGCTAGTGACCATGCAGGGAGGTCTAATCCCTCCTGGCCAAACTAGTGCAGATAGGCTTTAGGATATATGAATTATAACACCCTTCTGGCTCTAAGCAGACGATCTATGGAATGGCGTCTGCACTAGTTTTGCCAGGGGAGATTAGACCTCTCTGGAAGGTCACTGGCAGGTGGTTATCTCATCAAATCAGCTCTCAATTAACACAAGAAAAAAAGAAAATCATGGGGGACCAACAGGTACCAATTAGGCATTGTGTGCTCATTAGAGGGCGCAAGTAGCTATAAGTAGTGCAGTCCCGCTTTAACACTTTCTTATGCCTTTTCACAGGTTGCCCTCTACAGCATGTTTGTGTCCACGATGGCCTTCAACGCCCGCGTCTCGGACCCTCTCATGGGGGGCACCTACATGACCCTGCTCAACACCGTCTCCAATCTCGGGGGCAACTGGCCCGCCACGGTAGCGCTCTGGCTAGTTGACAGCCTCAGCTGGAAGTCGTGCCACGGGGGCACGGAGGAAGGGTTGGATTGTGACACGAAAGCAGAAGCAGAGGTAATCATTGATTTTTAATGATCCATTTGTAGATTGGTGCTTGTTTTTCTTCTTTACTATTAGGCCATGGAGTGTGTATTTTTATGGTGTTGTTTGTCTTTTGATATCAATAATGATTAAGATACATATATTTGCACTTTATTGATTTTTATCAAATAGTGTTTTAATTTGATCTTTTATCATTATTCATTCATTTCATTTCATTTATTTTATTATGAAATCAGCATTTAATTCAAGTGCCACCATGCTTCATGGACTTAATAAACTGTACCAATAAATAAAATTTTAGATCAACATAAGTGATCTTATTGAGCATAAGTGACTAGTTCAGAATTTCAGATTAGATTTGGCAATTCAAGAAGTTACCCTTTCACATGGTGAAAACAAAATTGTTATTTAATAGTTGGTTCATATATTACAAATGCCATGCCTTCTCACTTTTATTCTATGTCGATTTTAGTCTTGTTTTGTTCTATCTTCTCTTTTTCCATGTTCAATTATTGTTCGCATGATGCCGTCTTTTAATGTTTTGTCATGTACTCCTAACTCTTACCTTATTGAATTGACTCCTCTCCTTTTTCCTGTCTTTTTCTTCTTCATCTCTTCATATTAATATTTTTTTTTTTTATCCTCTTTGTAACTTCTTCTTCTTCCTTTGCCACTCTCATTTAAAATCTCCAGGTCTGCACGAAAGCAGATGGGAAGTGCGTTACAGATGTTGATGGCTACTACATTGAATCCGCCATCTGCGTTATAATTGGATTTGTGTGGTTAGGAATCTGCGCTCGTAAGATACGTAGGCTGCAAGAGCTCCCTCTAGAGTCCTGGAGGATACCATCTTCGGGGTCGTCAAGAGACTGACTAGCACGGGCTCATCAGGTATGAGCCACCGTGGATCACATGGTTCACGGTTCAAGTCCCACCGCGGCGCCAATGTCTTTTGGCAAGACATTAATCCAGACTTGCCACTCTCCACCCAGGTGAGGTAAAAGGGTACCCGGTAGGAAGAAATTCCTTGAATGCTGGAGTGCCTTTTCATGGTGGCTCTTCTAAAGCCGGGGTAATAATATGATTGCAGGGCCCTCAGGGAAAACAGTATTAATACTGAAGAGGCTACCCAGGGTAAACAAGACATATCATTATTATTATTATTAGTTTGAGGAATTAAAAATCAGATGTTATGAGATCTCAAAGGGAAAATCCACCTTGGTAATCATTGGTTTATTAATAGCGGAAAGAAAGTGAAACTGATCAGTGAAAATCTGAAAAAATTCAAAAAGAATATGAAAAATGAATTATAAAGTTATGAATTATTTAAGTGTTAATCAACCACAAGTTGTAAATTTTGTGAAACACCCTACCTCTGGAGGATCTCTCCCATTTTCCCTGGAAAAAAATGAATTACAGTTATGTCTGAACATATTATATCTACACAAACACTATAAATATGGTTACTATACATTTGTTTTTTTACATATGTGCATAAGATAAAAATAGATCTAATACTTTATCAATAACCAAGTAACTGGAAATTGAAAGGTATTTGTAGTTTCCAATTTGCATTTAATTTATTTACTTTTATCAAGTCTTCCTCAAACATTCACTAATCTGTTTTTCTCATTTTCCCCCTATGATTTAACCCAACGAAATATAAAGGTGGACTTTCCCTTTAAGGCTTGCTCACATGTGTTGTAGTAAACCACCTGAAAAGGATTGCCATGGCAAGTAGCAAAGCTAGTAAAGAACAATTTACCAGTAAATTAAAATCCAAGTAGGGAGTCAACAAATATTAGTTAGCTGCTTGTAGCAAAGGTCTCCAAGTGTACTCGCTTAGATGCAGAAAATGTGAAGCACATTGAGTTTCATGTCAATTTAATTTGCGGCAGCAGTGATTTTGGGGTGGTTCACTAAGCCACATGCGAATAAGGCTTTAAAGTTACCATTTTATATTTTACAGGTGATTACAAAATCTCCATCCAAACTGTTGGTGACATAAAAATTACTCATTAAAATAAAGAGATGTAAAAGAGGCAGCATTCCACATTTTGTGGTTTGGCTAAAATTCAACCAGATGCATGAGTAGAATTAGAAAGGACAGAATTTTCAGCACACACTGCATCTATTTTGTTGCATGATCATATTGCATTAGATGACCGGAATTTGAAAAAGCAAAATTAATCGTTAAAATCCTTAAGTTGGCAACACATTGAGAGGTTCAAAGTCATTGGTTTTCGATAAAGATTGGCCACTTTTCACAAAGTTTTTACCTATTGTATGTGTTTTGCAGAGATATCAGATTTTATAAGAATAGTGTAGCAATTAACAAAAGAAAAAAAATGATTGTTGCTAAATTGAAGAATAACCTACGATAAATTTTGCCCTAAATAACAACTCCTGTCCTGAAAGGGTTTAGCATTTAATTAAATGCTTTAGCTGGAACATTGTAATAAACCTTTTCAAATATTTCGAGATGAATTTACGCACAACTTGTCACCTTTCTCTTTTGTTGAGAGTATTAAAATGGTACCTTTAAAGTTGCTCACGCGTGGGTATATAGAGGGCAGCACATTGAGCCAACGGGTATTACGCTCCCGTGGGTACTAGTGTCCCTTTACGCGTACGTCCGTAAGGAAGCGTAATACCTGTTGGCTCGGTGTTTGCCAAGTTGCCTATTTCACGAACGACTATATACCCACTCATGAACATCTTTAATGTTTGGTTGAATTCATGTTCACCATTATAAGTGATGTGAATATAGACCTTCATGAAATAATAGTATTCTTTTTTTTTTTATAAATGTATTATATTTTATACAGAACAGTATGTTTACTTTATAGGAATATCTCTGAGAATTTAAGTTACTGCAAGGCTTATCTTGAATTTGAGAATCTGCGTATATCTTGCTGTATCGCTATTTTCTTTAATTTGCATTTATTTATAACTCTTTTTCAATTGAGGAGGGAAAGATAAGGCACTGCACAGGTCACAAAAACTTGATAACTTAAAAATAAAAATGGTACATACATGTATATAATAATTTGCAAATTATACATATTTAGGGCTTTTTTTCTTTTCATATGGGGAAAAGATATACTACTTTGATCATAGATCATATACAAAAATGTAAAAAGTCTATGGATAATTGGGGTGATTTTTGTACCATGCGCTAACCACAAACTTAAATTTTATATCAAAGGAAAGATCTCTAAAAACTCAAAACTTAAAGCTTTGAAAACCGGAAGATGACGACCTGAAAACTAGCTATCGATATCAACTTATGTGGAGTATGCATATTCACAATGACATTGTATTAATTAAGCACAGCTCATCTCCTCAGCAATATAGGTGAGCAGGGGGTGTTTCACAAAGATCTTAAGTTGAACTTATCTCTAAGTTGGACTTAGTAGTTATGGAAAGCCGTTAGCATCTTTGAAAATATATTTTTAAAGTTATTTTAAAAGGCATAAAATGTTGATTCAAATCATTCATACTTTCTATTATCACGGAGATTTCATGTTCTTGATGTGGAATTTATTAAAAGTCTAAATTTTGGCTTTTGAATATATTTTATTTTAAGGCTACAAATGGCTCTCCATAATTTTTAAGTCCAACTGAGAGTTAAGTTCGACTTAGGATCTTTGTGAAACACCCTCCCGATCAGGTCCAGATGTTATTTCTTCACCATATTTGACCCCTGTTTGAGGAGTGCGAAAAATTAGGTTTTAATCTGCTTTTTGTGCTATACTGAAAGGGAAAATATCTATGACCTGTATTCCGTTATACATGTATTTGTATTCTACGTTCATTCAGCTGCCATTGGTATTAAGTTGTATTTTCATCAGATAGGATGTTTAAGAATTTTTTCAGACTATTTCATGTGGAATGTAATTTACTTCCCAGGCCCCTTTTGCATATTAAACGCATTTAATAATTTGATTTGCATTAAAGTTGAGTTCTGGTCATGGGATTGCATTGTAAAAGAAACGTTGTGGGTTCGATGAGAAAAGATTTATCATCTAGCATATAACTTTGGTGTGTACTACAAGGTCCTGGAATCATCAAAATATTTATTATTACTCTGTCTTGGTAAAGTTACAAGCACTGTACACAGAAAGATGTATATGGGACTACACAAACACGTGATGTAAAAATCAGTCCCGATGTTTATGACGTTATATGCCATATTTAGAATATTAAGGCATTTGAAGAGCCATGCTTTTCAGGGAACATTTGTTATCTGATGTTCTTCCACACTTTGCATAATACCATGATAATGCTCACAAATTATTTTTCACCTCTTCCCATGCAGAACTCAACCTTCTCTTTAAATGCAAGTTTTAAATTAAATGCAAGCCCAGAAGTCATAGTGAGTTTGCCTGACATAGCAACAAGTATGCAGCTGCATTTCTGGCTTAGCAGTTGGAAATAGTCCATTGGATGAGATAATCAGTAAGCATGCACTTCCATGTAAACAAACAAAAAATTAAGAAAGAAAATAAAACCTACGCTTTTGATTGGAAATTTCAAATGATCGATTGCAGTAGTTGAATGGTCATGATTATCTTCAATATGTACATGTAGATCATCAGATTTCTAAAGATTATTGACAGAAATTTAAAATCTTTTAAACTTGGATCAAGGAATACATATTCGATGGGATTAAGCTATTTGAATTATTGTTTACACTCAAATGTGTGTGCTTACGGGCAGGTCCAAGCTATTTGCTTTGTGACGTACGGGACATTCAGAGACTTTAAACAAGAAATAACAATGGATGACATTATTTATATGGCTATCTTTTGGTATGAGTCTGTGGCTTTTATGGGCTAGTTCATTCGTGAAAAGTTTTAGTTCTCACCAATTCATAAATTAATTTTTAATGTAATTAATGTGCTGCGTGACGTACGGGACCAGAGAATTTCTGACTTTTTCAAAAATAAGTTCATCATAAAAGTTCTCTGAATTTATTAAGTTATGAGATTTATGGTAATGATATCTTAATTCATTATGGAATCAAGCATTAATCACAACTATTACCATATTTTTCTGACCTTTCGTTGTTATGTAATATACCAAAACAAAAATGTGTGTATGTGACGTACGGGACACGTGACGTACGGGACAACTTTTCCCTATGGGAAAATGCATTGAAATGAAGAATTTTCGTCAAAATTTGTTAAATGTGAACAATTTTAACTTAAATCAGTGGCAATTAGAGTGTTTCAGAACCCAATTAGATCCTCTGACCATCACTTATATCCTCTGTGATAATTTATGAGGTAAATCAATACAAATATTACTTTAATAAAGAAAACAAATTGATTTACATTCATATACACTATATTACCATTTTTATTCCATTTACCCATCTATCATGTGCAGTCATGCTTCAATCTTTTCTTATTTCTTTGATCCATTCCATTCAACATTGCTAAATGTTTTTAGATAATAATTAATGAAGAAGATGAACTTGAATTTGAAAACTTTTATTTAAACTTGTTTGAAACACAGGGGCACGCTCGGCACATCATATTTTGTCAAAGAACATTTGTTATGCTCTAAGTGTTTGTGAACAAAGATACATTACAAATATGAAGTCTTTTCTTCATAGCTTGTTTGAATTACTTGATAGTAATATCATAGAATTTTGAAGGAATTCAAAGATAATGCTGAACATATTGTCTTTTCTAAATCTTTTTATCACAGATTAGAACATGTACATATGTTGCTGTCAGATATTCAAGAATTTTGATGTACATTAATGTAGCCTACATGTTTGTGAAAGATGGATACAAAAATATACATGTAAAACTTGAATTTATTTCGTATTGATTAAAGACATCTTGTTAACACCACCAGCTATAAGAAATTAACACCCTAAAGGTTTGTGTGACCTTTTCCACAATTCAAAAGATTAAAGTGAAATCAACAAAAATGCATGGGTGTAAAAGTGATAAAAATCCTAAGTGGGTGAGAGTGTGAAATATTCAAAAAGGCTATCCTTTCTTAAAAGTTATGATTTACATGTAGTTTTTAGGAGATCAGAATTCCTGAGCTGGCTCCATAACATGTACAGTGTATGCTGTAATCCTTTACCATCATATATGACATCTAAATATGTCATTTAAATAGAATATTAAAACAACCTCATGTGGAGAGCTTGATACCATGTGCTATTATAACCTACAGCATCTATGAGTTGTAAAAGCCAGCTTCTGGTGCATCTGCTACCATATAATTTCATTAGACTCATTCCAGGAACTAGTACACTATTATGATTTACATATTTAGCATCCTGCCAATGTTGGGGATATCAACTGGCAAAATACCAAAGTTGATAATACCAGGGGTCTGGCTTGAAGACTAATTACATCAAATTCAGTACAAACAAGTAAATTCCTAGAAGGGACCCAGTTAGAATGTTCATATATCCCTGTATACAACAAGTTTCCTTACACAGTATGTATTCTCCTTTTGGTCATTTCCTTTTTCACATCTTGCATTGGTTTTGTATGGGGTTGTCCCGTACGTCACACACTTGTCCCGTACGTCACATTTCTTAATTTGATTATGTAATCAACACAGAATTTTTGTAATTTTTGTTAAACCTATTTTTTGTGAGGTATTCATCTAAATTAGAACTTCCTAGAATATCTTTAAAAAAAAAAATTATTTTCATAATTAAAATTAAACAAATTATGATCAAATTGTGACGTACGGGACATCACACTTCGGAACCTAC